GGAGTCAGGGACGGCTTTTCCATCAGCCGCATAGACAGCTTTGACTGCACCTACGGACTGAATAACGTTAGCGAGGTCGTCAACAAATCTGGCGTTCCTGGCGTCAGGATCCTACTGATCACTGGTGGTTACGTCGAGGACTACGGTCAGCTGTCGCTTTAAGGAAGAGATTCCACAGCCCTGTCACGCTTCGTCCACCACACTATGGAGCTCATTAAATCCCGCTTCCTCCAGAGTATCGTCATCCAGGATATCGTCACCCAGCCCCTCCTGCAAATGCATGCCTGTGGACGACGATTTGGTGTTGCGAACCATGTTCCTTACGCTTCGCCCAACATTTCAGCTCAACAGCTTTTTCAACAAGCTCGCCGCCATAAAACCTGTGTTGCGCGCACGCCTTCCTAGGATTGTGAACGTGATGGACCCGCATGGAGACGCACCGTTACACGCACGCAGCAACACGACGAACAACAACAAGAAGCGCAAACAGCTGCTTGCAGACTAATCGGAAGTCGTAGGTTCTTGCTCGACCAGTCACAGCATGCAGTAGTCTCTCAGTAACAGAACCTGAAGGGACCAGGAAAATATGTTCCATTTAATAGGTGCAGAATTTAAGCCCAAAACCAAGCATTGCAGAGACAATAGTTCCGTTTAAGCAGTAGTTCCGTTTAACAGATTTCTGTTTACTGAGAGTCTATTGTATTTGGCATATTTGACTCAGCGCATCAGACATGTAATTGGCACGGCGCGTCACATGAAGGCCCGAAAGGCCCGGAAAGAAAGAGGGATTGTTTCTTGGAATTTGCAGCGTGTCGGTGGCTCGTAGCGCTGCCAGGTGCAATTGATCGCGATGGCATTCTGCACACGATTCCTGAAATGCTTGTAAAAATATCGGAGGTTTACGGGCCCTTTAGCACCATGTAATGGCTGCATAATAAATCCGAAAACATTTTGTTCTCATAATTGCTTGTGGTTTAAAGCATGCTATACATTATACAGAACGCAGCCATATGCGAAAGCTTCACTGACACAAGCCATTTTAAACTTTATCGATTACATCCTAGTTACAGCGTAGTTGTGGTCGAAGTGGGCACTATAGGAGCTGGATATCGCTATCGCATTTAACTCTTAAAGGCGAAGCTTAAAGGGGCCCTGAAACACTTTTTCAAGTAACCATGGAATGAATTCACTGGAGGAGATTATTTCCTCACGGATTCAACGCCACAAAAATTTCATGAATCCGTCCAGTGCAAGTGGAGTTGCAAAGATTTGTCGCACATTGCAGCGTGCGACAAAAGTGTAGTGGTTAGAGCATCCGCCTCGCATGCAAGAGGTCCGTGGTTCAAATCCCGGTGCCGCGCAGTTCCCAACCGGATTAAAAAAAACATCCACGTGTTGACGGAACTGCATTGAGAGGCCTGGGGTGCGGCCTCACCGGTAACCACCGCCGGGAACGCACTCCCTCACCAGAGAAGGATTGGCCACCCTGGTGCAGTATCTGGCCACTGCCTCCCACATGCATACGTCAAATAACTCACGGCCCTCAGTCCCAGCTGCGAAGCAACTGACCACGGCGGCGGTCACATCTGCAACGCAGTAGAGGGTGCTAAGAATCTCTGGATCCGGACAGGCCGCCATTGGAACCTGAACTTGGCAACATTTAACGCTAGAACCTTATCTAGTGAGGGAAGTCTAGCTGTACTATTCGAGGAACTAGAGGGTATTAAATGGCATATAATAGGGCTCAGTGAGGTTAGGAGGACAGATGAGGCCTATACTGTGCTACATAATGGGCACGTCCTTTGCTATCTGGGCTTGGCAGACAGAAGAGAACTGGGAGTGGGGTTCCTAATTCACAGAAACATAGCTGGCAACATAGAGGAATACTATAGCATTAATGAAAGGGTGGTAGGTATTGTAATTAAACTCAATAAAAGATACAAGATGAAGCTGGTACAGGCTTACGCGCCTACATCCAGCCATGATGACGCTTCAGTTGAAAGCTTCTATGAAGACGTGGAATCGGCAATGAGTAAGGTAAAAACACAGTATACTATAGTGATGGGCGACTTTAATGCATAAGTAGGGAAGAAGCACGCTGGAGACCAGGAAGTAGGAGATTATGGCATCGGCACTAGAAACGCCAGAGGATAGCTACTAGTAGAATTCGCAGAACGCAATACTTTGCGGATTTTGAACACTTTCTACAGAAAACGAGAAACCGCAAGTGGACATGGAGGAGCCCTAATGGCGAAAATAATAACGAAATAGACTTTATAATGACTGCACACCCAGGAATCGTGTAGGATGTGGAAGTGGTTGGCAAGGTACGATGCAGTGACCATAGAATGGTACGGTCTCGAATTCGCCTAGACTTGAAGAAGGAACGACAGAAACTGATACGCAAGAAGCCAATCAATGAGCTAGCACTGAGAGAAAAAGTACAGGAATTCAGAGTGTCGCTGCAGAATAGGTACTCGGCTCTTAGTGAGGAAACCAACCTTAGCGTAGATACAATGAATGATAATCTGACGAGTATCATTACGGAGTGTGCAGTGGAAGTTGGAGGCAGGGTAGTTAGACAGGACACTGGCAAGCTTTCCCAGGAAACAAAGAACCTAATTAAGAAGCGTCAAATCATGAAAGTGTCAAGTACAACAGACAAAATAGAACTGGCAGAGCTTTCGAAGTTGATTAATAGACGTAAAGTATGCGATGTAAGAAGGTATAACATGAAGAGAATTGAACACGCTCTGAAAAACGGAGGAAGCGTCAAAGCAGTGAAGAGGAAACTTGGGATAGGCAAAAGTCGGATGTATGCACTAAGGGACAAAGAAGGCAAAATAACCACCAATATGAATAGGATAGTTAAAATAGCGGAGGAGTTTTACAGAGATCTGTACAGTAGCCGAGACAACCACGACCTTAATACTACAAGAACTAGCAGTAACTCAGATGACACCCCACCAGTAATGATAGAAGAAGTCAGAAAAGCTTTGGAGAGCATGCAAAGAGGCAAAGCTGCTAATGAGGATCAGGTAACATCACATCTGCTGAAAGATTGAGGACAGATTGTGTTAGAAAAACTAGCCACCCTGTTTACGACGTGTCTCCTGACGGGAAGAATACCAGAGTCTTGGAAGAATGCTAACATCATCTTAATACATAAGAAAGGAGATGACAAGGACTTGAAGAATTACAGGCCGATCAGCTTGCTCTCTGTAGTATACAAGCTATTTACAAAGGTAATTGCTAACAGAGTAAAGAAAACATTATAATTCAATCAACCAAAGGAACAAGCAGGATTTCGAACAGGCTACTCAACAATTGACCACATTCATACTATTAATCAGGTAATAGAGAAATGCTCAGAGTATAACCAACCACTATACATAGCCTTCACAGATTACGAGAAGGCGTTTAATTCAGTAGAAATATCAGCCGTCATGCAGACACTGCGGAATCGGGGAGTAGATGGAGTATATATAAACATTCTGGAAGAAATCTACAGGGGATCAACTGCTACCATAGTGCTTCATAAAGAAAGCAACAGAATACCAATCAAGAAGGGTGTAAGGCAGGGGGACACAATCTCCCCAATGCTATTTACCACGTGCTTACAGGAGGTTTTCAGAAGCCTAGAATAGGAACAGGTAGGGATAAGAGTTAACGGAGAATACTTTAGTAACCTGCGCTTCGTCGATGACATTGCATTGCTGAGTAACTCAGGGGACGAATTGCAACTCATAATTACGGAGTTAGACAAGGAGAGCAGAAAGGTGGGTCTTAAAATTAATCTGCAGAAAACGAAAGCAATGTACAACAACCTCGGAAAGAAGCAGCACTTCGAAATAATAGTGCACTTGAAGTTGTAAAAGACTATGTCTACTTAGGGCAGGTAATAACCGCAGAGCCTAACCACGAGATTGAAGTAACTAGAAGAACAAGAATGGGGTGGAGCACATTCGGCAAGCACTCTCAAATTATGACAGGTAGATTGCCACTATCCCTCAAGAGGAAGGTATATAACAGCTGTATATTGCCGGTACTTAGCTACGTAGCAGAAACCTGGAGACTTACAAAGAGGGTTCAGCTTAAATTGAGGACGACGCAGCGAGCAATGGAAAGAAAAATGGTAGGTGTAACTTTAAGAGACAAGAAGAGAACAGAATCGATTAGGGGACAAACGGGGGTTAAGGATGTCATAGTTGAAATAAAGAAGAGGAAATGGACATGGGCCGGGCATGTAGCGCGTAGACAGGATAACCGCTGGTCATTAAGGGTAACTAACTGGATTCCCAGAGAAGGGAAGCGGGTTAGGGGGAGACAGAAGGTTAGGTGGGCAGATGAGATTAAGAAGTTCGCGGGTATAACTTGGCAGCAGCAAGCACAGGACCGGGTTAACAGGCGGAACATGGGAGAGGCCTTTGTCCTGCAGTGGACGTAGTCAGGCTTATGATGATGATGAGGGCCCCTTTAAGGATCCCCAATTTTTTTCTTCCCATTTGACAGATCAATACTGCTGATGTTCGTTTTTCATAACGTTTTCCCATTTAAATATTACCAACGTTCGTTCTCGCCACTCCTGGAAAGATATATTCTGTCGATCACCTACGACGCATACCCACATACCGCGTCCTGTAGTTTACGTATGTGTGCCCCACGCGTAGGGATCAAAGGATTTCACGACATACGCGACGAGATTTTGACACAGTTATTCATATTATTACCCGATATAGGCAACTAGACAGACAAGACAGATGGAAACGCTTAAAGTGCCCGCAATACGAAAAAAAGTGCTTCACATTTAAATACGGTCGTCATAAAACTGTCGTTTTGGGAAGTAAAACCTCTACAATCATGTGCAATCATGCTGGCAATATTCGGGTGGATGAATCCAAGGCCAGCATGTCACCCAGTGCAGCACCTATTCCTTTGTTGTCATTGTAGGTCAACACAAAAAACAATTTTTTAGAAATATAATCTCACACACAGTCATCTTATATAAAAGAAGCTCTTTTATTTGCAAAATGAAGAGGCCCAAATAAACAGAATAATGAAATGATCAATGAATAAATAAGAAAATGGATATTGACAATGAGTCAGCAGCTGCAGATTAACTGAGCGAGATTACAATGCACCCTTATCTTGGTGCATAAACAAAGAAACGTGGAGAGAAGAACACAGGCCTGAAGTTTCAAAAAAGTAAAATCACAGCTGAAAAACTAGATCCATGAACAACACCAAGACACAACAGATGTGATCGTTAACGTAGCAAAAAAGATTACAAACGCTTTAAAAGATCAAACTACGTAAAAATGCTCCTCTATCTTAAGGAGGGTGCATGGCTGTGGAATATATGCACTATCAAATGACGCTGCAACTGATGTCGTTCTCAGTGTAGCTCATAAAAATGAAGTTTACGGGGAAGATGACACCAAAGGTACTCCGATTCATATTAAAATGCTTGTTCCTGTATTACGGTAATACTGCCCACAAGTGGTGCTGCGCGTGACCCAGCTTCTCAGCGATGGCAGTGTAATTTCACCGGCAAATGGGTGAGCCCATCTTCAGCGTCTTCAAGTTTAAAGCTGCACACTTTGAGCCATGATGTTCTTCGGACGATGGCGTTCGAAAAAAAAAAAAAAAAATAGCGGTGCTTGAGCAGACGCTGTAGCCATGAGTGAACAATGTATCATTACATCAAACGAATCCACCTGTACGTCTTGATCACACACTTACAGTAATCCCATTTTCATAGAGAATGAGCACCGAGCAACAAAGTCTCGACTCCAAGCAAGTACAAAAGCAAAGCGCTTACGCTATCTGCTTCATCTTCCCTTGTTTTGTTTTGCTCAGTATTTCACACGGTGCTGATGGCTTCAAAAGGAGACAACATTCAGGTACGGAAAACTACTAAGAAATGCGACAATGAGCACCAAAAACAAAATTAGAAGTTGCACTTGAAAGACACACACTTACAAGGAATACAGAAGAAGTATGAAAATTGTATGCACAAAAAAAAAGGCAACGCTTAAATTTTGATTACTGCATCTTGCAGTCAGCCTGCTCGTCAGTTTTGCCTTTCGGTGCCGCCTTAGCTTTGCCAGCGCTGGCTCGCTGAGCACGGGTCAGGACACCACTTGCAGGTTTCGGTGCCCCACCACTGGGTGCACCAGATGCCTTTGGTGAAGGAGCTGAAGCCGTTGCTGTGGCGGCAGCAGGCATGGTACTTCGAGCAGACGCCGCCTTTTCAATTGTGGCGTGCTGTCTCGGCTGCTGAACCCTCTGTGGACGCTGTAATGATATTGGTTCATTACCAAACGAGCCGAGATTCCAGCTACATTTGGTTACAACCTAGAGTTAAAGGTTTGTCATCACTACGTAAGACGTCACTATGTGAGACCAGCGATATAAACGTGTATCTGCATGACAAAATCAACTACAGCGGAATCTCTACAAGATTCTGCATGATACATTTTTTCAGCCTAATTAAGTGTCTCTTTTTATTCCCGACCATTGTGCTTAGCAAGTAATGCTCTTTTCATGCATTTATTAGGGTCACATTTTTGTACAAATTTGGATAATACGACCGTGAAAATGGATTTTGATCGGTATACCTCAAAATCATATGGTTATTATTTAGTATACTAGGTCAATTCGCGTTCCAACAAGCAATGATTGGCAGAATGTTAAGCCCCTTAAGCAGCAGCGTCCGGTTTGTGGCAAAAGGATAGCTGCCAGGCACTCCCCCAGAGTCCAATGCCGTGAGTTTGCGACCGATTAAGCATATTTTCCTCTTTTTCTCAATTTTCTTGTAAATATAAATTTCGCATAGTGTGCTCCATTTCATGTTCCCCGGAAAAACGTCTGAACAAGCTTCTACTGTATCAGAAACACTCGAGAAGCCCAAAAATGGGTAAACACAATCAGATGTGGCATTCATGGGAATTCTTTATGGGAGGCACAGCTATGACAAGGAGCAAAAAAATTTTTTTTAAATAGGTTGCAATCGACTACAGCTAGTTGATCGTGTGCTACCTATTGACAGCAGTGTGCTGGCCACGCTTTCTGCTGATTAGTAAGTTGAACGACGGCATTGGCTTGATGGGGCTGCACAGTGTGATAAGGTGGAAAATGACTGAAATACTGGCACAATCGCGAATTATTAGGCATCACTATCCATGTCAGGAGCTCACTCGTGGAACAGGTCGGCTGTTCAAAATCCACAACTGGCATTCAGCAATATTTCCCCCACAATGTGCACGAAAGAGCTACGTCAGATAGCATGGGATTGCGAGAAGTAAATGAAGTTACTGTTGAATTTCAGTATATTGCAATCACTGAAAGTAATTGTGCCGTTCAACCAAAACAAGTGCTCCAATTTTGTTAGTTTGGCATTACGGTAGTGCTTCCTCTATCAATCTTTCTCAGTAAACAGAATCGCTGTTAAATGGAAATTGTTCCCAGTCCAATCTCTCTGAAGGGAAACTTGCCTACAGTAAAATGCTAAGAAAGAGTGCCCCTCTTTTTCTCCCCTCCCGCCATTTTAATTTGCCCAAGAAGGTGAATGAAATAGTGAATGCATGCATATTCAATAAAGCATTCAATTAAAAGCATGGATGTGTGTTCATTATCTCTAGCAGCCCTTTTTCTACCATCTTGAATTTTGATCCATTACCGAGCAAGGGCCCTCCTTCCAAATTTTGTCGAACTATCTGTCACCAGGTTAGGGGGGGGGGAGGGGGGTGCTGTTTATTAAATGCAAATAAGCAGTCGTCGGTGCCAATGCGTGGCGCCGGCTACTCCTCTGCTCTTGCATAACAGTCATCATTGCATATTAGATAGCAAACATAGGGCTATCCAAAGGCGCATAGCACAACACTTACGCACTGAGTCCAATATCGTTGGTTGAAAGATCTGTTAACACAAACAGAATTTGACAAAAAAAACACAAGTAATAGCGCAATTAAAATCTCCACATAAAACATGAAAGTTCACTAAAATGTTGTCAAAGGTGATAACGTCTCTCGGAAGTACCGCATTTTAGCGCGTATAACCCGCCCCTGCGTATAATCCGCACCCCCACTTTCAGCTCACCGAGAAAGAAAAAAAAAAAAATCCTTGCGTATTGCCGCACATTTGATATACAGGAAAGGCTGTACAAAAGCTACTGCTCAAGCAACATAGCACATATGTAGACAGAAAAAGCTTTATTTAGCAAGCAGAATACGCTGTCTGCAAGGCCAGTCACAATTCATTCACTGTCACTGCTCTCACTAGAGCTATCACTTGAGCCGCAGCCCTCACTATTATGCACAAGGTCATCTTCGGTTCCATCCATGTTGTTTGTGATGCAGCATTTCTTGAAACTTTTTCGCACCATCCCACCTGGAATGGTCTTCCATGCCACGACAATCCACTTGCAGAATGGGGCAATATCAGGCCTTCGGACTCGTCCTGACGGCGTCAAGTCGTAGCAGCCTTCAGCCATCCACTCTGCATAATAGCGCTTGACATGCGCTTTGAAGGGCTTGTTAAGCGACACATCTAGATGCTGCAACATTGACGTCATTCCACCGGGTATAACAACTAAGTCGGTGCCATTGCGTGAAAGGCGGTCCTTCACTTCTTCAGTTGTGTGGCCGCGGAACGAGTCAAGAACGAGCATGGACCTCTTCGCGAGCATCGCACCGGACCTCTTCTCCCATACCGTCTTGATCCAATCTACAAACAAGTCACTGTTCATCCACGCATTCTCGTGAGCGCGCACCACCACACCAGCAGGCAAATGAAGCTTTGGTAGAGTTTTCCTTTTCAAGATGACGTACGGTCGCAGTTGCTTGCCGTCGGCGAGGGCACAAAGCAAGACTGTGATGCGCAGTTTCGTGCTCCCGCCGGTCAGCACGCTCACCGAACTGCTGCCCGTCTTCTCAATCGTTGTGCCCAACGGCATTTCAAAATAAACAGGAGTTTCATCCGCATTGCCGATTTGCGAGAAAATGTAATTGTGCTGCTTTCGCAGGCCAATTACATATCTCTGGTACTTGAGCAGCTTCTCCTCATAAGAAGCCGGCAAGCGTTGGCATATTGTAGTCTGCCGTCCGATTGAGAGCCCTTGCCGCTTCATAAAGCGGTGCAGCCATCTGTGGCTCGCACGGAACTCGTGAGCTAGGCCTAGCTCCCCCGAAAGTCGCCGCGCTTCCACTTGGGCCATCTCGGTCGATACGGCGTGACCCCTGCTTCTCACATCTTCGATGAACTTTACTAGCTCCGCCTGCAGCTCAGGGTAGGCACCGGTCTTGGGGCCACGAAATGACCTACGGTCGCGGTGTGCGGCTTGTAGGTTCTCTTTCTTCTTTCTCCACAGTCGCACACAGGACTCGTCCACATCGTGCCATCTTCCCGCTTCGCGATTTCCGAATTCCTCGGCGACGGCGATGATCTTAAGCTTTTGCTGCGCCGTGAAGGCCTGCCGCCGTACGCTACTCATGGTGACAGAACAGATCGACTTAGGCTAGGCGAACGGGCCGAGATGTGGAGAACTAGCAGTATCAGCGAGGTAAAGAGCGCTCACACTCGGCGACAACTTGACAGCACTACCCCTTCTAGTACACTGTAACAGCACCCTGGAAACAACAGAACCGAAATGCATGCCTGCTACCGTGTCAAAAAGTAGTACATTAATTTACTGATAATATCTCTGTAGGCACTATAATATCTCATTTGCCTTGCTGAAATAAATACTGCTTTATTTATCATAAAACTTACCTTATTTATTATGGTACTTTTTTAGACAGCACCACCTTTTCGACAAGCCCTTTCCAAAAGTAAACATGGCGTCCGTGACGTAGGGACATGTGGAGGGTCACTGAGAGGCCGCGAACGTCCAAAAAATATACTTGTGGAGTGACAGTGAGATTTTACACTGAACAATCGAATTGTCTCTCCCCAAATGTTTTTATAAACCCTTCAACGATGCAAGCAAGCGAAACCAAAATCGGTTGCAAGCTGCCGGCTACTTGCGCAGCAACACGAATTTGAGGAAACCACCTCCATAGCCTTCCCTACACTAATAAGGGGCTTCACAGCAGAACACGCATAGCTGTGAAGCAGCACTATAGGAAAAACCCCGCGTATTATCCGCACCTCCACTTTGCCACTGAATTTTTTGAGTTTTTGATGCGGGTTATACGCGCGAAAATACGGTAGTCTCTTAAATATATTGCACTGTAACTGCAGCAAGTAGGTTTGTCACAAAGATTTCTCTGACAAAATGAAAACACAAGAATGTTGTAGCGAAACACACCGGTTAACAAACGCGAACACATTTTCTTTTCTGATTTAGTACTTTTGTGATATTTCTGTTTCCTCCAGAAAGTGAACTACTGGATGTGCAGCAGTATTTTGTAGGTTTGCTTTTGGCCATGGTCCTAAGATTATCGCTATTGAGGGGGATGCTTATCCAAAGAATTTTGTTTTTGTAAATGTTTCTTTCAGGTTCATCATAATTTTCACAATGTAGAAGAACTTGCTATTCGGGTAAAGGATAAAAGTGTCTTAAACCCCTTGATTGACTATCAAGAGGGGCTCGACATCATGGGCGTCAGCAGGGGGTGCAAAAACGGCACCTACCCTCTCAAGGCTCAACAGCCCTTTCCCTCAATTAAGCTACACTAGTGCTTCCCCCATCACCAGCTGGGATGCAACATTAGTTTGACCCCCAAGAAAAACCCTGCTGACAGACATAGTTGACAATAATTGTTGCAACTAAAGGAGAAAGAAGGAGCAGCGGGCACAAGCACAGGCCACGGGGCGCTGGCTCGCTCAGTTGTTCCGTTCACCTTCGATGCAGCCAGACGATCGGCTCAGGGTCTCCTTCTTTGTTTCTCACAGTAGTACCGCAAACAAAAATATAAGTCAAAATTTTTTTCTTATGAAAGCGCAATGAAAAAATGGAAAGTTGACCCTCGTTTCAAATACTGGTCATTGGCAGAAAAAAAATGTGGAAGTCTCACAACAATGGGCAGCTAGAATCGAAAGCCTCCATTGCCAATGTGAGCATCAGCAACGGCGCCGTTGGGCAAGGCTAGGCAAGGCCTACAGTGTTCTAGCAATGCAATTTTGCCTAGGTTACATGCTGTCAGTGTGCTGTTTTCTTTTTTCTATTTCCTTCAGGAATGAGTGGTAATTGATGGCAGTTTAGGATAGACCTTCATAAAAAAGTTGATGAGTATAGTGAAGCGCATGGCAACCTGGCGGCACAACAAGAATTCGGTGCATCGGAGAAAAGCATCTGATATCGGAGAAGCTAAAACCAGTACACTGCATCCTGCAGCAAAAATTTGAGCTCGAACTCTAGCACTGACGAGCTCGAAAGAGCTGGGTCCTTTAGGGACATTTACCACAAGAGAGATTACAAACGCGCATGTACTTGTAGAAGGAGTAACGAAAAAGCACTTCTTAATTATGATCTATGGATAAAGTACACACTCAAACCTCATTATCACGAAGTTGAAGGGGAGGCACAATTATTTTGTTGTATCCATTATTTTGTTATATATATTATAACAGTTTGTGGCAATGTATGCTCAGATGGGTGCACACCTATAAGCACACGAAGAAGGAAACCGCCTAGCGGCCCAATGTACCGCTATGCGACCACACGTACTGCGAAAAATAAACTCAGTCAAATCTGATTAATTCAAACTTTCGGGTAATTCAAACTCACGCTGAAGTCCCGTCAAAGCTATGTGTATTCCAATGGGCGAAAACACCCTGTAATTCAAGCGCGCAAGCACTTGCGATGATTAATTCGAACATACCGCACTCCAAAAATGCTCTCAGCACCATGCCCAATCCTGCAGCGGCACCTCTCAACGCTGTGCGCGAAGAAGGAAAAGTAGAAACGAAAAGAAAAGACTGTGGCGGATTGTTTGCTCTCTTTAAAATGCCGATCTTCGATGCGCCTATTCCCCGCTTCTCTCTTTTCAGTCTCTGCACGTAGAGACCCTTCTGCTTTCAAGGCCGCGTGCGGAGAGAGAGGAAAATGAAGAAAAGAAAGCTGTCGCAGAGAGTCCTTCTTTCTCGGCCGTGAGGGTAGCAGCGAAGACGCAGTCGTTGCCGTCTTGAAAGGGAAATCGCTGTGCATTGTGGCGCCGCTTCTCGGTCATGTGACCCGCTGAGCACTTCCTCAATCCTCTCCGCTGGCTGTGTGAGGAGGACGCCTCTCTCAGCCGTGCGGGGCGTGGCTGTAAGGTCGGTGTGGGAGTTTCGAAAGAGCCGCATCAAATGAATGTCAAACTCCGCAGAAAACGATATACTTAGCACCCTACGGTCGGTTTTTTTATAGACTATTTAGTTCGTTATATCCATTTACCGGTCGATTTTACTTTGTCACAACAAGGTTTAAAATGAATGGTTCTCAATGGAGTTTTCAAGGGGAATTTCATTCACTTCGTTATATCCACTATTTTGTTATATCCCGCTACGTTATAACGAGGTTTGAGTGTATTTTAGGAAAAGTGTCGATGCCTTTCCAGCGTTCACGTGTTTTTCTGTGGACACGAAGCATGAAAAATTAGACGGTGATGTCCAGTAACAGACGCGTCAGACATTCTAGCAGCACGCGTGCAGTTGTTAGTGAAAATTGCTTTAATTACGTGCAGTGCTACTCTTCAAACAAGATCTCAGCAGCGGTCCTGGAACAGGCGATGTCCAACCATAAAGCAATATAAGTAACGGCCCGCCAATGAACAGGTGTGGAGCGTGCGTTTCGCCATTGAGCCGACTTGCACAACAGCAGTTGCGTCGGCACATAGAATTGTGGATTTCTCGAGACGCATGCACAACCACTGTTCATTCAGCAGAATAATTCTAGGTAAGCTGTTGCGACTTTGGTGGCCCCGCAGACAAGCTTGTATACAATTTGGTGTGCCGGCGTCCCAAATCAAACTTTCGTGCAGTTTGGCCCGATTTCCGTTAATATCATAAAGATAGTGCCGTAAATCTCATTTGGCACACTTTTGCGCAAAAGTCGAATCACTGTATAAGGGTCTAACGAGTATTATTTAACATTAGACAAGAATGTGACACCGTACACCATGTTTTGTGAAGGTTCTCTGTGAGGCTTGCCCAAACGGTTTTGCGAATTTCAACATCAATGTAAAATGTCAGAATAGGTTACAATGTGACACCCGAACTCACCGTACGAGAAGCCGCCGCAGATTCCGTCCTTGGTCTGATGTTTGAGGAGTCTAGAGAGATAAGCAAACCACAGAGACGGTTACTTCAGGCACACCCACTACAGCACACGTATAGCATATTTTCTGATATTTCTTAAATTTCTAATGCCTGTGCTTAGGCAGAGTACTACACGAAATACACACATATATACATTGCTCAATCATAGCTCGCACCTCATTTTATATACTGAAGACACGAAAAATGAAATATATTGAAGCTTTGCTGTGATACGAGCCGATGCATCGCCTCGGCTAACATAAAGAAAAAAAATTCTCAGCCAAGTCAGTGAAGAGAAACAGGTGGCATTTTAGGTTGTACTTACAGTGTGCTGCAATGATCTGTTTATTCTGAATCATTGAGCACTAGTAACAGATTTATGCTGACAAAATGCTGGAATCCCATTTGGTAATTCACATTTACCTTGATATCACTGTTACAAAAAGTCATTTTAAGCTATCAGTGTGATGCAAATTATAATTTGCCTTTGGTGTTCGAACACAGATGTCACTTTCCAGTGAAGAACGAAATGAAAGCAGAGTACATGACAGCAGCGAACTTGATATCTAGCCAGCTTTTTTGAATACCTGTCTTCAATGCCCCTTCCCCCCAAAAAAGCGATTCAGAAGCAGGAGACCTAAGTGCTGGATACAATCAAGCTACTGATATTCTGCACTAAGCGGGCAATGCTGTGCGATAATAAAGCTAAAAATGTGCTCCACGAACAGTAAAAGAAACACACAAAAGAGCACACTAGTTAAGCATTAGTAATCGACTGTACCAGAAGAAAGGTTTAGCAATAATAAGAGTTTCTGCTCTCCAGAGCATCAAAGGTTAAAGGCACTCTCTCTCCTCATTATGTTCATCCACTGCGGCAACATAATTTTTTTTTCGCTTCGAAGACGCAAAATACTAGCAGTGTTCTTCATTCATGATTATATTACACTGTAAAAGCTGCACATTGCATAGCTGTAGATCTGTGCATGTCATCTTTATCTGCGGCAGCTATGTCGGAAGTCAATGCCATAATGTACAATCACTTAATGGCTCTGTCATTTCTGCAGGGAGTATATGCAACAATATAGTAATGAATGCACTTCACATTAAATAATTACCCTCGTGTCAATAGCATCGCCTGCTACTAATGACAAAGAGCTTAGCGGCTGATAATGTTTAGCGCATCAAAATACCCAAACCTTTCCTTCTTTCTTTGCGCATTGGCTGTAAGAAAACACTTTTGCAGTGAACAAATCAGAGTACAGTGTATTCCATGTAACAGAAACACGCTATATCGAAGCGAAGCAAGAAAATAAGGCTTAAGAGCAGTGCACAAGAAGCCATTTTAAGACTTGAACTGTGCCGTGAAGGGAAGTTCAACGGCTGGCCACACTAGCACGCTTACACACGTACAGAACGACACAGCGAAGTCCACACCGACAACACTGAAACCAGAGTGCACCAATGTGGCTACAAGTGTGCAGCAAGGCATGACGAAGCAAAAACGGCCAGAGTAAACTGTCACAGAGCATTCAGGTTTCTATAACAGGCTGCATGCATTTATTAGTCGATGGGGTTCAAGGTGTATTGCCACTAAGTTCAAAGCTATCAATGAAAAAATACAAAGTCGGAGCACTTAAATTTTGACCTATCGAAAAAGCAGGTCTCAAGAGCAGGTCCTTTGTCAGTTCCTTACAAACAAAAATTCGTAAAACTTGCTGATGTCGAGGAACATTACCACTCAACGTAACAACACAACTAAGAGCGCTGTGCTCTTGCGCGATTGTTCGGTTAAACACGGCAAACATATAAAGTCACGACTGAAATCATTTTCAGCATACTAGAAGTAAATTTTGTTCACAGACACAGGTTTCACAGTGACAGTTGAGAGGCTGCGATTCTTGCCAGAAATCTTTTGTTCTGTCTTTGTTTAGAGGTCTTAGACAATTCGCTTAACATCGAGAATGCGTATACCGATACACTGATTGATGGAAACTAAAAAAATATTGTGAACATGTCAAAGGCTTCATGCCGATGCTCCCTTAAAGGGACACTAAAGAGCAAAACGATTTTTCACGTATTAGTAAAGTAAAATTTCACGATCCAGAAAACATCACTCTTGCTGCGATATGATGCTTGGTAAGCGAGAAAATGGGCGCCAAGAAAAGATGGCAATGTCACCTTGAGTTTCCTGCACCAAACACCATAATCCGAAAATTTTAAGGCATCTACTGGGTCCTATGTAGCTTCCAATCAATAAAAATGAAGTTCTTTGTAATTTGTAGGTGCTATAGACTTAGCATACAAAGTTTAAGAAGGATTTCAGAAAATATTTTTTGAAATTTCCTACATCACGTGTGGAGACTCGGGTACAAAATTTACAAATCAAATTTGAGCATTGATTTTCTCCACTAATGATTAACTTATGAGAGTGAAACATACAGGATTAGAATTCTCAGTGTAGTTTGTCGATCTAAACCAAGTTTATGTTCCTCTTTAGAGTCCCTTTAACGTATGAATACAGTGAATGTGGGATACACTATAAATAAAAAGCTCTGGCTTCTTTTTTGACCTTCTCAGGTCATTGAACCACCTGACAAACGTCTATCCGTGGGAGCTTTATGTCAGAATATTACACGTGAGGCAAAGAATTGAACCCGTGACATAGCGTACAGTAGAAGACCGCCAACACCACTAAGCAACTGCTGCGAGTTGCACGAAGCACGCATGCAGCAAGATGCATCAGCATAGTTCAACATGCAGCACCTGCAATCATACACATTCTGTCACACCGCCTATTCTGTCACCGACCTTTGACCTTGCAACATTAATACAGCGTCTCATATACTACAGCACCTCATCAAATGTGCTTGCTTGCCTACATCATAATTTTTCTCTCAATGCTATGCAATGCCATGCGATATGCTGCGTGATATTTGCGACAACACTTGAGAAGTGCTCCATCAAATTTGACAACAATAAAAAAGCTGCTATGATTAAGTATGCATATGAAGTTTACTGCCATGTCATCTAGACATGCAAAGAAGCACTCCGAGCAATTCGAAACATGAAATTTGAAACAAAGTAAAGAAAAGTAATATTCCTTGCTATGCTGGACATCATGATACATAACAGTTGATCCTAATACAATGCTAGCACAAAATCAATCTTTCTGTTTTCCCTCAGCTGCATACTGCTCCTACATAAGGTACGTTTGCCTTAGCTGCAACAGCTCAGTTTCAGATATTCCTCAAATATAAAGGCAGCTTTTGAAAACCCGAATATCTCTAAAACCCTTCTCTATGCCCGCCACCACTGCCACCACCATTACCACTGAAAGAAGGGGCAAGCTGCACGGCACGAAACAGTTGACAGAGGCACAGCATCTTCAATGCAAGCACTAGTGCAAGTTCCGTGCAGCGCAGGCGAAGGTGCAGCATTCATCTGCAAGCAAGGTGCCGGCCTGCAGCGGCAAACCTACTGACCCCTGCCGAAAGGCGACAGTCCTAGAGCCAACTGCTTCCAAGTCCTCGTGTTTGGATGGATTTGGGGAGACTGCTGCGTCTTACGCTTCTCGGCAGCGTCCACCCGGGAGGCATCTCCAATGTTCTCTTTGTCCTCAGCAGACACCTGTGCTGCTGGACCCGCCACAATGGGTGTCACACAACGGCTTCCTCGAGCCAGCAAAAGGACTGACACAAGTTGGCAACTTGAACTGATAAGCACAAAAAGCAAGATAGAATCGCGCAACTGCGCCTTTCAAGTCTTCGCGAAGTGTCGCGTAGCACGTGATCTTATTATAAGCTGGGAACTGACCAATAATCGTGTGCTATGCGACGCCAACAGGCAGAAAAATTGTTCCACACTTACCGTCACAGCTAATAGTGTTGCTGACAGACACTCCCATGTAATGCACATATATAGACCACAAAGTGGACAAAGGGATGGCCGTTGTTGCAACTCAATCGGTAGAGCATGGGACGCACCATTCAGTGGTGGCAAGTTCAGTCCCTGTCAGCACCAAGTTATCTTTTTGCATACTTCCCTTTCTTCCCACTTACATTACAATTATTACTAATAATATCGGGAATACTTTCCTTTGCATCATTGTCTGTTTATTTTCATTGACATTGTGTATAACCACCTAGTGCAATTTCCGTGGGCAAGTGAATTCCATTTTCTTATCAATATGGCACGACTAACTGGGCAATAAATCAGATATTTTGTCATAACAGCATAGTTGCTATAAAATGCAATAAAGCTTATTCAAACATTGCCACTCATTCTAAATTAAGCTTCCACAACCTTAGCCAAGATGTTAAAATTTGGTAGATCGTGTTGCACGCCACGGAAGGTTATATACTAATAAGTAATTTTGTCATATAAAACCTGCGCCCTGAATGATACGCAAAAACATTTCTGCAAATGAAACCCCCCTATTAATGCAAAGCAAACTTCCTTGCATAACTGTAAAGCCCTACTGTGAAGCCACCTTAGTAGACCAGAATCGGTTCTGACAGCGGTGCCCCTTCCCCCACCCCAAAAGAGCCCCAAGACAAGAGGGAAGGGGGAGGGTTAACGGGAGACACTGCGTCAAGTCTTCTGCATGCAGTGCCACTTAATCTAACATTGCTTCCCTTTGGCCACATTAACCTAATGCACAAACAAAAAAACTTACTGAGTTAACCAGTTGGTCTCATGGCTGGCATAAAAATACCCGTAACAAATCACACTTTGCTTATTGCTCGGAATGTGCAGCACTGAAAAAAAAAAAAAGGAACTGCAATACTTTGTCCATAAAAAGCCCTTAATAAAGTAGATGACTGGGCTTTACTCTGTTTTGTATACATAGGGTGCAACGCTGTGGAAGGTATGCAAGAAGTTCGGCCAGCAAAACGTATAACTGCGTGCGTCTCGTGGTCGCTAGCGTCACGTCGAATTAATGCCGGTGCATCCTTGCATTTCTTTGTGCTCCCCTTTGGCGCGACTGGCAAACAGAAGATAGCAGGGAGGGCACAAAAGAACCCGGGTACCGAACGACACTGTGGTCCTCCCCTGCACTGATAGTGAAAGTCTAGGTGGCTGCTATCATGACTTACCCAGAGCAGAGAGCCTGTATGTGACGTCACGTGGAAATTGAGCTATACAGCCCCATAATAACAAATTTTCAATGGCATTTTCGTTTGTAAGCCACAAAATATCTTGAACTACTTATAACGAAAACAATACTCAGTTATTAGTGGTAAGAACATTGAACTATTCTTCCCTGCGAACGCGTCAACCACAAGAAGTTTCGCTAGTTTCCACAGTGTTGCACGTGGTGTTTGAAACAGAGTACAGTTGGCTGTGCATACTTAGGGTCAACAGCACGAAAAAAACACGACCACAGACAGAAAAAAAAAAGGAAAAAAATTGTCCACAGACAGAAAAGACGCTTGTCCACGGACAGGAAACAGACTCATGTCCTCTGTTCCCTGTTTAAAAGGTCTTCTTTGCATCTGAATCCAACAGGCCAGACGCAATATCGATGCAAACGAACCTTAAAATGCACCGAGTGATTACGAGAACTAAAATTTGGGCAAGTTTTGTAAGGATGTGTTTTTGAGCAGGTAGCACAAAATACGAAGAAACAAGTGAGGAACAAAGAGTTTATATTTTAGATTTAAAAACTATATGTGATGTTAGAAAAATAATCATATATTTGAAATCGGCATGCAGATATATATATACAAGAAAGTTTCATAAGAATTATTAGTGAACATTTTTTTTTTTTTAATTGGGAGAGGTATGTACTGTGGTGCTAAGATGGGAACAGCAGAGCTGGAGGCTTAGCCCTCCTCCTTCTCTCCCTCTCATTTGCCTTTACCACCCCCTTGCTATACTACAGTACACATGGCTATGCAATGCCTTACACTCTCCCCTTTCTCCCTCCTCATTTTCCTCCTCACTATCACTGCTCTTTCCCACCCTCTTGCTATACTATACCACTCATAACTTTCACTCTTTCACACTTGCTCTCTATTTCTTGCTGTTTCTCTTTCTACATTCCTCTTTCCATCTTTTTCTCACTCTCTGGCCCATAGCAATGCAGTCATACGGTTCTCAAAAATGCTTTTTCTGCTACCACACTTGGATAGACAAGTGGTTACTTCGCTTAACTTTGGAACATGCGTACCCGGTTGTGAATCCCGCCTCCACCAGCAATCTTAATTCATGTTATTTATTTCTCCTTCTTTCCTCGGCTGCTCCTTGTTAGGGGCGAAGCTCCTAAAGGCGTGGGTCTGTCCATCCCTTGTATGTATGCATGTATGTATGTATGTATGTATGTATGTATGTATGTATGTATGTATGTATGTATGTATGTATGTACGTACGTACGTACGTATGCATCTGCGTGACCGCCTATACTTCCATCTTGGCCTGCTGCTCACTACTACATTCTTACAAACGTCCCACTACGCCCCATCACAGACCCACCACTTCACCGATATCATGAAGCAAATACTGTCGAGAAGTAGCCATTATGAAATGCAATATGGTTGCGTACTTGCATCCAAGTGCGCGTTAAAGAACCGTAGATTGTCACACAGTGTCCATTTCTTGTTTGTACATGACCACCTATAATTCCAACTTTGCGAACTGCCCACTACTTCGTCCTTGCAAACATCCCACTCAGCCCCATCACCGATCCACCACTTCACCGACTATAAGGCCGTTATAATGAAGGGGAAACAAGCGATGTATATAGCTACCGCTAACAAATAGTAGAATTTCTTGTACAAATATATACAGTATTTATATATATACCGTATTTACTCGATTCTACCGCGCACTCGGTTGTCACGACGGAAAAAAAAAAGTAAGACATCAATTGCAACGCGCACTCATTTTTCTCGTTGGCCCACACGATCACACCACTCTGGAAAAAGACTCCTTCCGGGAGCGTCTTCCGTTTAAATGAGGTACGGGGGAAGCTTGTGCCTATCTGACGTGCAACGGAGCATTGCCGTCTCACTTGTTTTACCGTGGCCCGATGTCAGCATGCGAACTTGCTTTGCCCCCTTCTTCTCGACGGTTGTGGTGCCAGGCATGTCGAAGTAAAGAAGTGTCTGATCGGCATTTCCGATTTGCCCAAGCAGGTAGCCATTGTGCCGCAAGTTAAGGACGAACCTTTGAAAACTGTGAAGCTTTTCTTCGTACTCTTCCGGGAAGTTTTGGCGCATGCCCGTTCGCTTTCGGAGGGAAAAGCCTTTCCTCTTCATGAAGTTAGTTAGCCAGCACCTGCTCGCTTTGAACTGGCTCCGCGTTAGCCCTTTTTCTAAAGCTAACTGCATAGCCTGCACTTAGAGTAGCTCTGTCGTCACGGGCCGCTGTGCCGCTCGCTGCTCAAGCACATACTCGGCGAAGCCTTTGCGTGAAGCCTTTGCGTGAATCTTTGACAATCTTCTGCTTTTGTTTCCGCCAGTCCCACACGCACGTTTCGGGAACTCCGAACGACCGCGATGCGGCCCGATTTCCGTCTGTTTCGGCACACGCGATGACTTTTTTTTTATAACCGGCATCGTGGTGCACTCATCGAGTTTTTGGAGTCGGCCCTTCCATGCCGTTGATGCTAATGCACACTAAGATGACGAACTCTTCAGCACACATAAGAAATGCCGCACATGGGAAACACATAGGCAGAAATGGCCGACGCACCACGATGCCGAAGCACGTAGGAAACGGCCATTTCAGAAATGCCGATGGCAATAGAATGACCGTATTCATTTTTTTTTCGCACTCGATTTTAATGCGCATGCGATTTATGAGCTCTCTTAACCGTAAAAAAAGGTGCGCGTTAGATTCGAGTAATTACGGTGACCCTCCAGCACTTCGCCCCATTCATTATCATTCACTCCGTGGATATGCTGTAATTTTTTTCCTTCTCTCCACTTCACCGAGTACAGTTTTTCCTTAACAGTAGCCTCCTTCCTTCTTCCCACATTCTTACCTCGCCAGTCCTCGTTTCACAAGGCTTTACTCTACCCTCAGGCTCCAACTTCCTATCTCACCACTCCCCTACACTACACCCTCTCCCTCTAATGTCTTCACTCTCCCTGGCACCTGACATACTCAGTGGCGGGGCTTGGCAAAATTTCTGTGAGGATTAGCACAGGAATGACAGCTTAAACATCCACACAGTTAATAATGTTTAAAACTGTCACATATCCACCCCCCTTACACTTTGACGGGAGCCACAATTTAACAATGAAGCAACTGACCAGCTTTCAGAGACTATCGCCCCTGCTGCGTTTACGCTGCACACTTACGGTGGGACACAGGCAGAGTGCGCTGCTTTGGCGTCGCTACTTTGGCGTGAACTACTGGCTCGCTCCCTGTGCCTGCAGCTCGGGATGCAGATCGAGTGCGACGGTTCCTCGTCATCGCCCCTTCCCGGGAAGTCGGCAAGGTCGCCTCATTGGCAGTCCCGTTTCGCGACTTGGTAATAGGAGAGCGGCTGCCACAAAGACGAGAAATTCAGACCATCACCATTTCCATCTGTCATTTCGCACTTAGTAAGCAAAAACAAGTTCACTTCCACAAGCATTCATGCACTAAGGAATCCGAAGGTGCCAGGCTATTTGTCAGCAGGCATAAATCAGTGAGCCGGACGCAATCAGAGCCCGGTGCATTACAAAACCTCGAGAAGCTAGATAGGTGTGTAGGGTTTAACATCCCGGAACCACCATATGATTATAAGAAACGGCGTAGTGGAGGGCTCCGGTAATTTCAACCACCTGGGGTTCTTTAACGTGCACCCAAATTTGAGCACACGGGCCTACAACATTTCCGCCTCAAACGGAAATGCAGCCACCACAGCCGAGATTCGATCCCGTAACCCGCAGGTCAGCATCCGAGTACCTCAGCCACTAGACCACCGTGACGGGGCGACCTCTAGAAGCTACAAATGCACTAGTGTATGAGAGTCGCGCAGTGACCTTCCTGGCTCCGAAAATCCTAGTAAACAGTCTATCTGCCACACTGGTGTAGCGATTACAGTGCTCGTCTGCTGAACCGAAGGTCATGGGTTTGATCTCATGTGCGGTGGTCACATTTCGATAGAAGCCAAACGCTTAAGGCCCGTGTACTTTGCGGTGTCAGTTCATTTTCAAGAACACCGGGTGGTAAAAATTTTCAGTACCCTCCACTACGCTGCTCCTCACAATGATATCGTGGTTTTGTGGCTTAAGACTCTTGATATTATTGTTATTTTTATTACTCAAGTGGCAACGTGAGTAAAGCGTGCTAAAATTTTGTAGGAGCCCCAATACAGCGCATGACTAACCTTTTTCAAAAAGCAGGTGCAGTAACATGCAGGGTCCGTACAGCTTTCCAAAGCGAAAAATCAGGGATATTCAAGGAATTTCTAGGAGCTGTTGCTAGCTTGTCAAGGACTCAAAGCGACATGCCAAGTTTGTATTTTTAACTCTAAAATTTGCAAAGATGACCAATTTTATTGCGCTGACAATAAATATATGAATAGGGAAATTATAACAAAAAAAATCTAATCTTAATACCTTTTTGCACCCTTTTCCTCACTCTCCATAGGGAGAGAGCACAATGCCGTGTCAGAAAGTTATGCACTGACGAGACCCAACGCGTATGTGTATGGCTCGCGTGCCGTTTGCTCCAAGCTTTAATTATAGCTCCAACAAGCATGATACATGCACCAAGATTCATTTATTCTCCCTATATAATTTATCACCTTATTGATATGTGAAACTGCGACACTACAATGATAATTGTTGGGGTTTTAACGTCCCATAACCGCACTACGATTACGAAAACCCCGTAAAGGAGGGCACCACAATTTCGAGCAGCTGGACTAAGTACATGGGCCTCTAGCATTCTACCTCCATTGACATGTGGCCGCGGCGGCTGGAATTCGATCATGTTATGTCGGCTCAGCAGTCCAGCGCCATGGCCCCGAAACTGCGACGAGAGCACTGGAATACTGCATTTCACCTTAGTTATTAAAGACGATAGTCTTTCTTCGCATACTTCAAAGCAAAAATTTTTGTCTGTCTGTGTCTGCTGATGTCTGTACGACAACTCAGCCACACGGCAAAAGTTTAACCCCCTGCTCATTGCCCACCCATCTTGATCTGGTGGCTGCATTCATACTTGCGAACATTGTCAATCAAAAAGCAAGTATTATGCATATTTTAGGCGTGACATCAACACAGGAGTTAAGCAGTGAGGTTGTTTTTTTTTTTTTTTAGAAAATATGCAGATATGCAATTCTAAAGACCGTAGTGTTCGTCACGCTGCGTGAACAATGAGACGCAACAAACGAAAAAGAAGGAGTTTCCTACGCTTCGCTGAAAAAAATCAGGGGCTTTACCTAAAATGCCCCGGTGCTGCCACCAACCAGTGCTTCTGCATTCTAAATAAAAACTTTTGTTCCTTCAAGTTATTGCCAGATAGGCACCATATCTCGCGTAGCACCTTCAGACAAGAGACTATCATGTTTTTTGAGAGGCAGATAAAGTATAACAAAACAAAAAGTACTGCTATGTACTGCTATGTGCTCATACCTCGACTGAGAGAAGAGGGATCGCTTCATCACAGTCGTCTTGGAAATGGCCGACGGGAGAACGCCCGCAGAGGTCTTGGCAGCAGAACGTGGCTGCGACAACGTCCTCTTGAATATCTTTGCAGCTGGTGTACCTGTTGCAGAGGCGGGGCTCCTGAGCGCCGAAACGGTCACGCAGAATTCCGCTTTGGACGGGCTCTCTGCGCACACACTCAGCTGTGTGACCACGGGTGGCTGCTGTGTAGCTGCGGGAACGGAATTCACGGGAGCAGCACTTGCACCGAGCTCTTCGTCTTCGTTTTCGACTTTGGCACCGGGCTTCTTCTCCCTGCATTGCAGCACAAACGTTGCATGCATGAGTGATACGCATTAGGTGTAACACTTTTAATGCCAAGGCCAATTTCGATACAAGTTACTATTCATTATTAACATTGCCGTTAATAAGCAAGTCGACAAGTTGTAAGCCTTAAACCACTGAATGCCAACTATGGCAAGACACGTGTTGCATTGCTTTACGACGACCCCGTCAACCCCTTCAGCTTAAAACAAGTTCACTGCATAATCAGTCCCGTCTAATCTCAAAAATCATCACGATGAGGCCTGCTGGTTCTAGACAATCAGCATTCTGTATCCCTCTTATTATCAGAAATCATTACCTTTGATTAGTCTTGAGCATGACATCAAATTGCTGCTCCCTGCAAGAAACTTCACTGCGTCATTTTTTAACAACCACTCGTGCCACAGCTGCGCACCACCTGGCCTCACCTCGCCACCATGCCAGCTGGTGTGACATGCGCAGCCAAGCTTCAAAGCAAGGTTAGCAATTGATAAGGCCATGCGCACGAGGCTAGACTATGCCATTGCATCATACTCTTGAAGGCAAAGCTCAAGCGTCTTCCAAGTTTCTTGGCTCAAGTCTTTTCAGGAGCCTTGGCTACCGATCGGCAGTATTTTCTGACCATGCTCAAAAAGTGTTGCAAGACTTTTTTTTTAGACCCCCCTAAACAAGCTTGCCAATTCTTAAAGTAGACCCGCGGCGATCACATCTTCCGAACATTGCAGCGCTGCGTGCCGCTCAGACCCTCCATTTCAAAAAAGAATTCCCACGCCTCTTTCCTTCTGACCAATCCCCCCTGTACGTGCAATGACAGAAGCTTGCGTGAGCAATTTAACGTAATACTGAGCCAGTCGATTGGTCCTTTGCCCTACGAAAAGTCATCATGGCTTTGCGGTAATACAGTTATGGCCACGCAGTCTGCGTTTTTTTTTTTTTTCCGTGCTGCCATCTGCTGTTTTGTAGAGCCCGAGATTACCGAGAGAAGCGGTGTTGCGAGAACAAAAGCCTTAGAGATAAAGACCAGTCTCGCTACTGAACCGCTAGGGGTAGGGTGCCTCTCGCATCGTACCTCCTCCTCTCCCCACACTACTATGACACGTGCTCGTGTGGGGGATAGCCCTTCTCGCCCGTTGGCTGCACATCGCTGACACATCACTGACGTGTTACGTTGCCGAAGTGGGCAGAGTCACGACGACCACCTACACCTTTCCCCACCCTACAGTGGAGATGGATGATGAGGCCACGCGAGAATGTGATGTTCAAACCCCTGTAACTTCCTTATTATAGCACATATTGGCGAAATTCTTGCAGCAGCATGTTTACATAGCTAAAGGGCACATATTCCTGCTCAATACAATTTTCGGCCCTCGGGGTTGTTCAGTGCATGCTTGAGAGTCCTTACAGTTCAGAAATGCGTTGCCTGTAGGTACGCATCCGGGTTCGCAGGAATTCGACCTTTTCCTTGCTTTTAGTCAGCTCCGTGTTGATGGAATCGACCTTTCTCCAAGCCTCCTCAACGAGGTCTTCCTTTGCAGACAGTTCCCTGCGCACATCTTCGACCGTTGCTTCCAGTTGCTGCAAACAATATTTGTTCACTACATTGAGCGTAATTTATGGAGAATGTATGAAACACCAAGCAAGAACAGTCGAGACTTACATTAGTATTACATTTTTCAGGCTGGAAATAACAGCACAATACTGCAGGCTAAAGAGGTACTGACACAAAAAATGTTTGTCGCGAGTTTTTTTTTGTTGTTGTTGTTGGAATATGCTGCAGGAGGCCTATTAGTCATAGCCTGTCACACCGATTGCTACAGCACGTGACAGATAATTAATTACAGCCTGTTTATTAATGCAATGGCATTAAAGAGCTCGTTTCAAGGGAACTTCAGTGTTGGCATAGGCGGCGTTGTGAATGGTTGTGAGCGAAAAACTATCGTGTGCATGACCGAAAAAACGGGAAAGATGCAAATAATATAAATAACAAAACTTCTCGGCCTGCTTCGCTTGCGCCTCAGGCCGAGAAGAAACCCAGGTCGTTTACGTGTAAAACGGGTGTTATACCCAAGAGCCACGCGTCTGCTTGGTAATATAGTGAAAATAACTATACATCACACACATCCTGTATACATGCTTCACAACGCAACATGTAATATATTACAGTAATAATGTGTAATGATGATGATGATGGATTGTGGTCCTGCCCTTTGTAACGGGTAGGCAGCTCTGAACTGCCTTAACCAGAAAAAAAAAAGGAAAGAAATAAAAGAAGGGAGACGTAGAGAAAAGAGAGAGAGAGAGAGAGACAGAAAAACAAAATGTGGCACACACACATACACACACACATACACACACACAAAACGAGTTATCACGTTTGCAACAGACAGCCAGTGTCTCCTTGCAGACCGGCTACATTTCGAAACGTCTACATTGTCTGCACGTCGGCACTGTCTGCGAGGTCTGCACCACCACTGCACCAATCTCTGATTTGTGACGTGGACCGCTCTGGCCACCGCTGTGCTCTTCTCCTTATCTCCTAGGAATCCCAGTGCCAGCGGTAGGGTGGTGCCCTCTAGGTGACCCGCGCACAAGTCAGCGCAGTGGAGGACGATGTGTTTTGTGGTCTCCTCTTCTGTGCCGCATATTCGACATAGGGCCTGGGCCACGTCTGCAGATGAGTCGAACCTGTGACGGTATGTCAACATACGCAGCGCTCCCCCACGTGCCTCAAAAAGGAGTGCGCTGCCACCGCTGTTATCACAAAGGGGCTCCATGCCAATGTCGGCCTTGTGAGTGTGGTATGTGAGCAGTGTGGATTTATCCTTCATGGCATGCCGCCACTGCTCCATCTCCTCCTGACACACCTGCGTCTTCACTGCATAGGCCCACTTGTACATCTTGTCATCACAGGGTTTGCACAGAAGCCAAACCAAACGTTTGTGTGCCGGTTAGACTCGCATATCTGAACAGTCGCCTGGGCTACCGTTAGTCGTCCATGAGCCGCAAGCATTCTTCGTGAGTGGCCTTACTTCTCGCCTCGCGTGCCTCAAATGAGGACCATCCCAGGTCATTTTGATGGCCTCTATTGCGACATGCCCATGGCATCCAAGGGCCACACGGGCCACCTCCCGCTGGCCACGCTCCAGCCATTGCCTGGTTGTCACAGTGAGGCACAGTATGGCATTGGCAAATGTGAGGCCTGGGACATGAATAGCCTTCAACATGTCTCGGATGAGCAGGAAACGGTTGCCTCCCAATAGGCTTTTTCGGAGCAGCTCGTTCACTGCTCTCTGCGAAGTCTTGCGCAGATTTATTTCATGCGCCCCCAACAAGGCACCGCAGGTGCTCAATACCACCCCGAGGTACCGATATTCAGTGGCCCACTGTATCTGATATCGTCCTGGCAGGTATATGTCGGCATTAGGGTGGGAGCCTGACAAATTTAATGCAGCAGACTTCTTCGCATTGAAGGCCAGGTCCAGGTGGTACAGATAGGTCGCAGCAAGGGTGACCGGTTGTTGCAGGTTCGTTGGGCTTTCGGCTAACAGCTTCACGTCGTCAGCATAGACTAAACCCGGCAGCTTCCAAGTCACGGGCATTCCATCGTCCAGGTGGGTGAATGAGAAGCCCATACTGGATGCTAGGAGCATATGTTCCAATCCAGAAACATAAATCATGTAGAGCAAGGGTGAGAGGGGGCAGCCCTGCTTAAGTCCCCGTGTTACCATCACTGGTCGGGACTGGGCTCCGTCAAAGCAAGCTATAACTGAATTATCTTTGTACAACCGACGCATTAGGTCGACCCACACCTCTGACATTCCGCCATCCGCTGGAATAGGGATTCTTGTGGGACACTGTAATATGCCTTAGCTACGTCAAGAAAGCAACCATACAGGTTTCTGGACTCTTTGCGAGCCATTGCTACGGTTTCTATCAGCACGAAGAGGTTGTCTTCCAGGCATCGGTTAGCTCGGAACCAGTTCTGCAAGTCTGTGAGCACGTTCTCTGCCCACCCACTCATCCAGGCCTTCAATACCTGTGCAAAGACACGGTATAGGACACTTGTTACAGTCAAAGGCCTGTAGTCTCGTAGAAGCACAGCGTCTCCACATTTCTTTCTCACCAGGCACACCCTTCCTGTTCGCCAGGCTCTAGGGACTGTGTCACCCGCCACAATGCCAGAGAAGATGTTGGCAAGGTGAACTCGGGCAGCCTCCCCCAGGTGTTTTACAACACCGGCGGGTATGCCATCGAGTCCTTTTGCTGTGTGTGCACAGATGCGTGCGATTGCGCTGTCCACCGCTCTTCGTGTCAATTGCCATTTCATGATCTCATCTTCGGGGCAGTGGATTTCTGCTTCATTCTCGTCTGCAGACACGCAAGCTGACTGCGCAGGTTGGTACAGATGATGTATATGTTCTGTAAGATGTTCCGAAAGATCACAGATGGCGAAATCAGTCTCCTCATTTCGAATTCGCGGCATGGCTGCCCTCTTGTCAAGCGATGACACATACGTCCAATACAGCCGGGAACCGTTTCGCCTGTCTTCACTTAAGGCTTTCAGCTGCTTGCCATTGTGCTCGGCAATCTCGCGTTGTACTATTGCTTGAATAGCTCTTTTGCACTCCAGGTACCTCTGCCATAGCTCTGCACATTCGTGTGGAGGGAGTGTCCTTACCACTTCTCTGTGTAGGCGATTTGCCTCCCGTTGAGCACTTGGTGCCACTTTGACCTCCTCGTACCACCATGGCTTCCAACGCATACTCTCCACGGGAGTTAATGCATACTTCATGTGCTTCCATTATCTGTTGCAGAGCTTCTACATATTGGTCATCGGAAGGTGATTCCAGATTCATGAGCCAGCCTTCAAACTCTTGGGCGATGTCTTTATATGTCTCTTCCAGTAGGTAACGTGCGGCAGACTCACGACAGTCTGTCCGTTTTGGCCCCATGAGGAAGTCGAGAGGGTCAATTTAATTCGGTTATGATCCCTTCCCACACTAAACTTCCCATTTTCGTCTAATGTGATTGATGAAGCATGGCAGGACAGCTTTGGTGACATAAGTACATAGTCGATGCATGAATGGCTGTTCCTAGCACACCATGTTAATTCACCTTCCCAGTCAGAGCGAAGGTTGGCTATTTCCAAGTTTAGTTCACGTGCCGTCAGGTCCACCAGGTCTCCATTAAAGTCGCCCATGAGTAAAACTTCTCTGTCAGCTGCCCATCATTGTACATCCATTGACGTACATTTCATAATTTGAGCATTTGCATCATGTTTGCCATCCCTCACTGGGAGGTAGACCACACCCTACTATCACGAGAATCCCTAGGATGCTACGATGGAGCCACTTGTGTTCAGTGCATGGGCATGTCAATCTTTCCCACATCGCTCAGGACCGCCACAGGATACTTATTCCCCCGCCTTTGCGTGTACTCCCTTCGCGGTTGGAGCCTGACCATTCCCAGTTTGGATGTACAGGGGGTTCCTCCAGCCCACGAAAGTGCGTCTCTGTTAGCGTATAAAGTTACATTCTTCCACTCTCTAGCGTTGCATATAGCTCTTCCCACTTGCTCGGCTTTCTTGCGCCATGTACATTGAGAAGACCCACATTGGTTTCCCTTATTCGTAGGTCACGGTGGTGGCGACGACGGTGTACATGTTTTACTTCTGACTGAAGGGACGAGGGGGCTTTCTGCGCTTCACCTGGTCCTGTTTCTCTGCCATCTGTAGCAATGCCTGTCCGAGGGCTGTCATAAGCGGTGCCAGGGGGTGCAAGTAACCGCTTGTTTGTGTCCGTCGCCTTGTAAGTCCAACGAGCTGGAGTCCTAAAAAAACAAAGCCTGTGTGTCCCAGGCATGTGTCCAGTTCCTCAGCCATGCCAACCTTGTAGAGCAAACTCCACCTTCAGGAACACCGTACGCAATGAAGCGATGCTTATTGGCTCTCCCCTGCCACGTCTGCATCCTGGCCATGAGCTCCTGTATTATAATATGTGGGGAGGCATCACTGTCCACGATATCGCCGCTTGCGTAATTTAAAACCACAACTGCCTCTGGTGCGTTCCAAATGTCCATCGCAGCATCCATTTCATCCATAACATTCTCGAGGGTGGCATCCTTCCATGTGCGGAACTAAGCTAGCCTGTTCCACTTCACAGCGCGTGAAGTGGTGTGCCTCATTCTGAAGGCATTCTTGTCTCCATATATGAAAGCACACCAACCTTCGTTGGGCGGCTCCCTGAAGCGCTTCTGCTGTTTGGGCACCTTTTTGTTGGAGGATCCCGTTTCTCTCAAGCTCTTGCATAGCTTCTTACGCTTTTTGTTTCACAAGGTGGGCCTCCACCCCTGGAACTCCAAGGCACATTCGTCATCCAGTTGACTGCGCTCTTCCCTTCTCAGTTCGAGTGGTTCTGAGCAGCTTCCCGGAGCTGCCTGGCTATGCACTTTGTCACGTGCCGTTGTCCTCCGTTGCAGCATGATGCGACCCTTCTGGATTTTAGGCCCGGGACCCTTCCATCGCGCTCTTCAAGTCATCAAGCTGTGTCTGCAGCTGAGAAACCTGCGCCTGGAGTTCTCCGCGCATGCGGGTCTCCCGCCCCAGCTGAGAAAGAGCATCGTTCAGCTTTGTTTCAGTATTCTCAAGCTGCAACACACACTCCTCTTTACGCTGCCGCAACAACTGCGCGAACTCCTCTCGCAGGACATTCAGCCGGATGCACTGCTTGCAGTCATAATGTGCCGTGGCGCTTGCCTCCTCTACAGTTTCAAAAGGTGTGTCCTCAATGTCGATCCACACATCGGAACTTGTACACGCCACCCAGCTGTCTCTCTTGTTACTGGCTTTCGCAGACGGGCTTCGTTTCACTTGCGTTCTGCCTATGCGGTGGTTCTTGGCCACCTTTAGTGCTCAAATATTCCACTTCCGCGTACCACCACGATCGAAGTAACTCTCCTAGCGCTACAGGTATCTGCCTCGTGAAGTAGCTTGTTACCGATGGGTCATCGGTCAGTTGGTTAGGCCTACCTTCTCTCTGGCACAATAAGCTGCACACTGACCAACAGGGACAGCAGACAGAGCCTCACGGGATGCACCTCACTCACAGCCCAACACACCGCACAGCACTTCCCGTAGATCCCAGCAAAATCACACACACATCATTCAAGATGTCACACGGAGCACACAACGCACAGGCGAGACCTCACACATGTCGCACCTACAAGCGTACAGAGCCATCAGGTGTCAGAACATGCACTTATTAATGACTTCACGGTTTAAAGTGGGCCATCCACTACAAAAAGAGTTATTCATGCCAAACATCTCAGTCATTTTGACGACCATCCCAGATGTATTTGAAAAAAATCGTGCTGATTTACTGCATTTAATAAAACAGTGAAAAGATGGAATATTTCCGAGAGAAAAAAATTTTTGGTCACGTGACTGCCTTCTGAACTTCCCAGAATGTCATTTGGGTGTTGTTTGTGAAAAAATGTTATTTTAAAAGTACCCCTCTTTCTTTCTATACCAAAGTTGGTCTACATGTTCAGTAAAGGTTCTTGTGTAAGTTGTTTGAAGCTCAGAAATATTAGTGCAATTTTTTTTTGGCACATACACCTCCACAAATTTAGCAAAAACGTGTAACATTTGCACTTTTTTTATTGCAATACTGCACTTTGTAAGAATATCTGGGTAGTAAATACTCACTCCACAGAAGGTATATCATGAAGAAAAAATATCTTCAGACCTCTGAAGTTGCTAAACTTTAAGAGAAAAATTCAAAAATTTCACAAAATCGTCAGTTCTGTCCATATTGAGGCACAAATTCCACCATGTGGTGGTCCAATCGAAAGTCATCTTTATACTTAAATCGAAAGCAAATAAACAGTTCTTTTTATATGGCAAATTTTATAATTACACTTTTCTGTTTTTGTTACTGATTAGTAACACTAACGAGTAGTGTTGGGTTCGGCATTTGGACCGAAAGGCTGAGCGGAATTCCGAGTACTGTGAACGAGTCACTGAGGGGCTGCTAGCCTGCGGAAAGCCTTTCCAGCTCGGGCATTGTCATTCCAAGCTGGGGATATGTCTTGGGATTAAGCGGTGTGATTTGGTGCCGTTTCCCTCATCTGCGGATCTGTAGAAACGAGGCTGTTTATACCTCGTGGGCTACTTTGAGGCCTTTCCGATGGAGATTTTTGGAGAGACTTTTTCGACACGAGTTTGTCAAGATGTAAGCCTCCTTTATGTAAACTACGTAAATAAACATCTGTAAATACCTTCTTAGGAAGGCACCTTTCTCCCTACAATATGTGCTAAAAAGGTCCAGTGGCGGCGGCCAGCTACCCACGACGAGACCCGCTGGACCCGAGCCGCAACGACTTGTGGCAGCGGTGGGATACTGTCTAGCCCTGTTCCTAACAGTAGGCATCATCTGAACACTACAGCTCAAGCGCTTCGCAAATGCGCTAGTCTCTATGAGAATCTGTTGGGAATTCATCACAACGCAACTACGTTTTAACCGTTGGTATGCTTAAAGCGGGTACGTACTGTACACAGCATGCAGCCGCGAGCAAAAGCTTCACTGACACAAGCCATTTTGAACTGGGTAAGCACTAGGGGCAGGACATCGCTATCATGTTCAACTCTTAAAGGTGAAGCTTAAGGGTCTCCCAATTTTCGCTGACCAGTCTTAGTTTTGGCTTGTGAAAGCTCCAACAATGACAAGCTCCTGTGTACAACTATTGCCACGTAGGTTTTAGCGAGTGAAACGTGCACAGTACTGTAAAGCACTTTCACAATGCCTGCGTAGCCTGCTCACTTTTTTTTTTTTTTTTGCTCATGGCCATGGCGTGACGTTGCCATCATCGTCATCAACTAGTGGCAAAGACTTTTTCGTGGCTTCGTGGCATTCACTGTGGACCCAGACTCGCGAGCAGCTGGCAAACAGTAACAAGCTGGCGCAAACAATTGGCGACATCGCGGATTTGGGTAACCTTGTATGATGTCAGTGTCAAGAGGTGCAGCCTGGTGTAGCACTGGATTGGGCATGTGAACACCACAATTCACATAAATTGCTTTCCATGCTGTGTTCACTGTTCAGAGTTCGTAGATGATGCACGCATGTTTACAACAATCGATCCAGCAGGTTATTGGGGGCACGACATTTTTGTGTCAGCACCCCTTTACCAGGGACAATACACGGCAATCTATTAGCCAGGTATTACTGCAATGCATTATCATGAAATAGTGTTATGATGTGATTTAAATGAGAGAGTACAGGCAACTACTTCTAATTGATTAAGGGTAATAAATTTTATGAAAGACTCCAATAAACACAAGCATATGTAAAGTATTCATGTTATAAAAGGTGAAGTTTACTAGAAGCATAGGAGTCAACATCAGGCAATGAGTGAGGAAACACAACTCAGTCAAAAAAGCAGACACGCCCTATTACAGAACATGGTTGCAAATGGTTAAAAAAGAAAAGACATCTAGTGTGGATAAGCATGAGCGGGAGCCTCGCGCAACAATGCAAAAATGCATACAACAAATGGGATACCTGAATGCGTTTGCTGCCCCCCGATTGCTGCAGCTCGGATTCGGCTTGTGCCAGGCTGCCACGCAGCTGCTCGGCCTCTTTGTCCAGTGCCTTGTACTCTTTCTCCTGACGCCTTATGATGGTCTTCGCGGTGGCCATCTTGCATTCTAGGTCTTCATATTTTGCCTCTGATGTTGACAGCTGAGACTTCAATGAAGCAGTCTACAAGTAAGACACCATAAAATTGTATCAAAGAAGACTGTGGGGGGATGAAAGCGAGAAGGCTTTAAATAAATTACACAGTATAGCGTTAACAGACCAGTAGGGTTAAGGCAATAGCCACTATGGCTCATTACGCATAGTACATCTCAGTTTGGCAGGATAGCATTTCTGTGCCCAAGCTGTGACGTACCTGGAAAAAGCCAAAAGGAAAAGGCTTAAAATACTCGCCTGTATCTCCGCACATAGCAATATTACTACCGTATTTAGTAACAATAAAAGTGAATACCGTAAATATGAACCCGCACTCAACAGGAAACATCCCAACTTTGCAGATTCATTCACAGTGATTTTCCAGGTAAGGCCTAGGGACGTTCGAAATGGGAAGCAATCTCAGAAACTACACAAAGTAAGTTATCTATAATACTCAGTTATCGAAGCTACCTGAAGTCAAGCAAAACCATTTTCCAGAGTCATTTGCTACGAATTGAAGGGACACTAAAGTCAAATAACAATTTACGACATAGTGAAAACTCGATGAATGAAGTCTAAAACGACTATTATCAACAGAAGTGCTCTACTTATTGAGAAATTAAGTTAATGCACAAGAATACATGCACCGCAGTAGGACATTCTCAAAATGATCCCAATGACATCAGACAATTAATCACTACAATTAATCACTAGTAATCGATCTAGCTGCACTAAATAAAGAATCGTCCATGCATCAAGAGACGTGATAAAATTCTGTTGTTCGTTTCCGTTTTATTCATGAAAAAAACAACCGCCGTATGTTACTATGGGGAATGGCACGACTTGTTCAAAAATTCGATTTTCGCCTAGTAAAACAGGACAGGTCGTACCATCTAGGGGGCCCTGTTGAACCAAGTACGGCTTAATGTTTAAGTTTTGGTTAAAAATTGCTCAATGGTCATTGCTACTGCTGTGGCTCCCGCTACTTTCCCTCTGCTGCTACTATGGTGCCGGCGGTTGTGCATTAAAACCGGTTAACGTTGGGCACGGCAACAGTGACGTCAAACGGCGGGTAATTGAAGTGCGCTAACTTGATTCAGACCACTAAAATGCCATTTTATTTTAAAACAAGCCCTTCCTTGACCCAAAAGTAACACTACGAGGTTTCTGGACCGCTATTTCAACAATGGACGTCGACTTAATAGTTGCCTTTCGTGTTCATTTAAGTGAGTCAGTCTTCACTAACACTGAATTCAGTTCGAAGCAGGCAGACAATATTGCCACCATGTTCTATGTACGTTATGTTATCGATGCAAACTCACTAACATTAAAGCTGAAAATATCGTGTGTACGGTAAATGCTATGGGTCGTTTAGAAAACCGCGCATGCACATTTCGATATGACTATTCCAGCTGAGCCTGTGATCCCGCTAAGCCCGCTAAACTACAGATATTTATTGCCAACTGCCCCTTTACGTATATTCATGCATACGTTCGCATGCATGTAGTATGTACAGTGCTCAGCAATCGAAATGTGATGCCCAGGCGCATGGCTGCTGCAGATGAGGTGCGATGGTCAAACTGTTCGTGACACATGGTGACTGCATGCAAGAAAAAGTAATTCAATCTGTAGTTCTTAGTGGCACTGGCGTAGCGCTGAACACCGTCGTTCATGCCCACCAGCTCTAGCCACAATGCACAGTGTGCATCCAATCACAGTATTTTGAAACTGTGACAGGTTGCACTCCACCGATGTCATCAAGAACTATTGTTAACACTCTCGCTTTAATTGTCAGTCATACCAGGGGCAAGCCTGCACTCCAAGTATTGCATTTCAATAGCTGAGCACTCCATATGCCAAATGTAAGCATTTCAGCAAGGGGGAAACCTAGGATGGTTTTAATCATCTAGCAAGGAGGAAGGAGCGTTAACAAGGAGGGGGGGAATGCCTCCCCAAACCTGCCCCCCCTGCAATACCAACAGAAGTGTTTGCATTCTTAACAAACATTGTTTGCACATCTTATAAAGAACAGAATTTCTGCCACGTGTAGGTAGCACCCGTCATTCACAGAGGAGTGCAACAAGAAGCAGCACATGAACAACCTCGATAGCGTTCAGCCTGTCCTCACGAGCTCATAGTCATAGGCTGTCATTGCAGAAAATTAGCTGCCTGCATGAGGCCCATACCAACAGATAGTGGCGGGGTGAGATTCAGTTGGCAAACATTTTCTAAAATGAGAATTGAACAGGTCAATATTCTGGCCGACGACCGACTTGTAAACATGCACAGAGCAGAAGGGGCCCTCAACGGCCCTTTCGCTCATAAAACAGAACCTGAAGAAACCGAGAAAACATGTTCCGTTAAACACGGGTTCTATTTGCTGGGAGATTAACAGGATCGCATCATTCAGATGCAAGACCAATCATCTCGTAGGCAGAAATTCTGTTTAAGCAGCAATCCCATTTAAGAGATTACCGTTTACAGAGTCTAACTGTACTAAACATATTCTGAATCCCCCTACCAGTATCGGCAACAGTCAGCAAAGCTGCTGCTGGTGCCAGACCTCTGGCTGAGCATGCGCAGCAAAGGTAAACACTTGCACTCTCAGCATCCTCATTTGTAGTATCTCATTTCTTTAGTTGGTTTCGAAATATATTGCTGCAATGCATTCTCCTCGTTTCAATGCATTTAGTAAGCTAAAAAAAAAAAAAGCTGACTCGGGGCCTCCAACAAAAAAAGAAAATTCATACTCACCAATGCCTCCAGATCAACTTCCTTCTCGTGGGCAACTTGAATCGCTGATTTCCACTGGTTCAGTTCCTCAAGGAGTTCTTCATGTTTTCGTGTGCTTTCCTGAAGCTTCTCACTTACAACCTTAAGTTCACTTTCGAGTACGGACTTCTCACGTGATGCTTCCTCAAGCTGGCCACGGATGTCTTCAAGCTCGCCACGGAAGCACTCGATATCAGAGTTCTTTGCTTCCAGAGACTCTTTCAGTTTGCCTGCCTCCTCTTCTGCATGCCAATGTTTCTGTCGAGTCAGTTCTATTTCAGCCACCAGCTTTTTCACATGCTCTTCAAGGGAGGACTTGGCACTTGCAACTGCTACGACTTCCTGTTGGGCGCTGTTGAGGCATTCTTCCAAGTGCTTTTGCTTATCCGAGTACAGAGCTGCCAGCGATTGCGATTCCTGAAGCTGCAGTCTGACCGCGATGAGATCTTTCTGGGCATGCCCCATTTCCAATGTTTTCTTGTCCAGCGAAAGATGCAAAGCCTGCGTTTCAGCCTCCATGTGAGTGAGCTTTTCTCTCGAGTCTTGAAGTTCTTGCGACAACACGTGTGTTTCCTTCTCCAATGCCAACTTAGATGCCACAAGGTTGCGGATTTCCTCTTGGGCGGTCCTCAGCCGATTTTCACCCTCCTTTTGTTCGACGATCGAATGCGCTAAGAGGGACTTGGACTGCTCGAGTTCGTGCCCAAGCACGTCGTGGTCGGTTTGCAGTTTTTCTATATCAGATGATTTCTTCTCCAGCTCCTGCTTCAGGGATTGCACTTTTTCTTCTGCTCGAGAGCAGTCCTCCTTGGCGGCGTCAAACTTTCGCGACAGGTCAGACACTTCGTTTTCGAGGGCCGTTTTCAAGGACGCCAGCTCCTTCATTTCATTTACGGTATCTGTCAAGCGGTGCAGATGCAATCTCTGTTGTGCCCGCTCAGCCTCTGACTCTTCGAGCCGGCTGCCTGCTGCATCAAGGTTGTGTTGAAGCTGTGCGCACACTACTTCTTTCTCTTCCAACAAGTTTTTCAGATGCTCAGTTTCAGTCTTTGCTTGATTAAGGCCTTCCGCCACAGTGTCCAGCTTCTGCAGCAATGTGGAAATTTCCTGCTCCAGTGCCACTTTCGAAGTTGACAGATCCTTTATTACACTGTGCGATGCATTCAGTTGTTGAAGACACTGTTGTTTTTCCTCAAAAATTTCATCCATATTCGATTTCGTCTGCTTGTGTTGTTCATGCTCAGTCTTGTACTGTTGCTGAAGGCATTCAATTGTGGCATTTCTTTCGTCCAGAAGGAACTTGAGTGACTTGTTTTCCTCCTCCGCAGATCTCAGCAGTGCTGCGGCTGACTCTCTTTCCTTTTCCTTTGTCTGAAGGTCATTTTCAAGGACAAGTTGCAAGGCCGCATACATCTTGGTCTCTTCCTGAGCCGACTGAAGCTCCTGTTCAAGCATTGCACGTTGCGCACCTGCCCTAGCGATGTCTGCCGTAAGGACGGCCACATTTTCCTTCTCAAGCGAGAGCTGGTCTCTGAGCATCTGCAGAGCGCCGCTAGACATTTCAGCAGAGGCCTGCAGGCATTCCAGTTCCTGCGTCAGCTGCCTCATCTCCTGCGCCTGGCGTTCATTGCGGTCCTTCAGTGCCTCGACCTGCCCATTCAGCTCGGCCTTGGAAGCCTCGACTGACTGCAGTTTCACTCGCAACTGTGACAGCTCTTCAAGGTCCTTGTGAGCAGCCTCATACTGTGACTTCAGATCTCTGAGCTCACCTTCCAGCCCGGAAATGAGCTGCCGAAGTTCTTCAATTTCGTGTTCCTTGGGCCTGAGAAGCTGCAGTTCCTCTTCCAGAGTGGCTATTGTCTGCTCTCTGTCTGTCAGCTGCAACTGCATCTGCCTCACGGTAGTCTGCAACACTGTAAGTGACGCGATGTGCTCGTCCTGGGCACTCTTCTCCTCCTCCAGGAGAGCAACACGTGACCTGAGCTCCTGGAGTTCTTTCACCTTCAATACCAGTTTTTCCACTTCGGCCTGCAACATCCGGTTCTCTTCCAGCAAGGAGTCAGAATCGAGTAGTTCTTGTTCTTGCTCCTCAGCCTGCTGCAGCACCGCCCTCTTTTCTTCTTCGAGCCTCTCCCGCTCCAAGTGTGCCTGGGAACACTTTTCGCGGAGCTCGGACACTTCCAACAGCGCCGCGTTCTTCTCGTCTGCTAGCTGCTGAAGCTGACTGGCGAATTCCTGCTGCCTTTGGCTCAAGGCATCCCTCAGCACACCCAATTCCACTCCTGTGTCTCCGACTACAGAGATCTCCGTAAAGGCCACATCCATGGCCAGAAAAATGCTGCGAATTTCGGCCACCTGATTCTCCTGCACTGCTCTGACTGCCTGCAGCTCCTCCTCTAAAGCGGCAATGGACTCCTGGAGCACTTTGTTAGTTGTCGACAGCTCTTCAAAACTCAACCTCGAAGAAGCCAGCTGGCAGCTTTCACTCTCCAGTCTATCTTCCATTTCTTTTTTCTCCTGCCGCATTTCGGCCAGCTCCTTATCAAGCTCGTCAATTCGCTCGGTCAGATTCAGGGTGGCTTCAGAGGTTGCTCTGGCACTGGCAAGGTCACTGACAAGTTTATCCCTCTCGACCTGAGCTCTTTCAGCAGCTTCCCTAGCTTGCAAGAGCTCGAGCTGAACTTGCTGATGTTGCTCTTCTGCTCTGGTGCATTGGTCTCGAAGTGTGGCGGCATTTGCTTCAATTCGCTGTTTCTCGGCATGTGCAGTCTGCAGTGTGTCCTCAACTTCTTCAAGTGCGCTGCTAAGCTGACTGACGGTCTGCTTATACTCCTCGATCTTCCTCAGTAAACTCTCAGTCTCAGTTGCAGCGGTCGTGCTTGTCTGCAGCTGCTGCTGCTGCATTGACAGCAGTTCAAGTTCCAGGTGAGTACACTTCTGCTGCTGTTCTTCCAGATTTTGCTTTAACGTACTCACTGTGGCTTGTTCGTCCAGAAGGTTTTGTTGGAGAGTCCTCGTGCCTTCTTCGAGGTCATCCCTTTGCTGAAGAGCAGACAGCACCAGATGCCGAAGCGATGCGAGTTTCTGCACCACCAAAGTATTCTCTCGACTGAAATCTTCAACAGGGACTGCACTACCATGTATAATCTGCAGCGCTTCAGTGGATGTTTCTACGACTTGCCCGAGAAATTCGTTGAAGCCCACTGCCCACTTCTCGAGGTAGTCGAAGAGCTCTGTGCATTCCTTGCTTTGATTCTCGTGGCTCGTTTCATCAACATCCTCCTTTCTGTCAAACTGTGCAAATGCTGTCAAGAAGACGTTCAGCTTTACTGCGAGCCCCACGAGTCTTGCCTTCAACGCTTCACTTTTGTCCATCGTGGGTTCTGCCTGAGGTTCTTCAGAACTTCCCTGCACATTTGAAGCACTGTGTTCTTCTTCGAAAGAAGCGAAAGACTCTTCATCTGTGCTATCCCGGCCACCGGCAGGTGAAAAAAAAACAGAGGCAGCAGCCTCAACAGTTCCGTCACACTGCACGCGCAACTCTGACACCACATTGACAGTGCGCTGAGGTTCTTGTGGTTTGAGGTAAGCCAGCCTTCCCATAAGGAGGTCCACAGTTTCTTGCAGCGCAATGTACTCTTCCTCGACGTACCGGGCGTACTGCAAAAGAAGCGATGCCCTGGCCGACACCTTGGCAGGTGCCACGGTCCGATTCAGAAGGTCTTGCAATGACCGACGCAGTGCCGATAGAAGCTTACACACGTGGGCCATATTCTCGGTCAGATCATCCTCGCTTGCATTACTGTCGGTCGAGGAAGCGGTAAGCTCGCACGTGGACAGGTTGGTCATAACGGTTTCCCCCATGGCCGCTTCAGTCTGGGAACATGATGAACTGAAAAAAAAAAAAAAAAAATGTGTTCCAACTGTAATAATTCTGGAGCGACTAATACTTCCTTCAAAAAGCTTAAGTTAAAATTCTTGTTTGTTGCAGAACATTGAAAAAAGTAAAGGTTGAGTTGCTTTTCATCACATTAAATCAAAATAAGTCTTACGGCATAGAAACCTTTACTTTAAATAGAGAATATGTGCATGATGGTAAATATAATAATAATATCTTGGGTTTAAAAAGACACGAAGGGCAAAACAATTTTTCGCTAATGAGTAAAGTACAATTTCACAATCTCGAAAGCACCACTTTTACCACGACACAGTGCTTAGTAAACAAAAAACGAAAAACGTAAGAAAAAAAATGCGGGTGGCGATGCCCCCTTGAGACTACCGCCCAAACACTGACGCAAGAAATTTTGAAGGTCTCTATTGGTGTCCTATGTAGCTTTCAGTTGATAAAAATGAAGTAGATTGTAATTTGTGGGTGCCACAGACTTAGCATAGGAAGTTTCGAAAAATTTCATCAAAACAATTCGACGAAAATAGTGAAAATACATTTTGAAATTTCTCACGTCATGAGCGGAGATTTTGGCATGAAATTTATAAATGAAACTTAAACTTTGATTTTCTCCGCTAATAACGAGTTTATGACTGTGAAATATACGACATTAGAGTTTTCAGAGTGCAGTTTGTCTAAACTAAGCCATTGTTCCTGCTCACTGTCTTACAAAATTTTGTGGAGTTTGCTTTAAAAATAACCGAGCAATGGGCAGTGGTAGTTGCACACCTGTCCATCCCCCCTTAATGTGCACCTAAATCTAACCAAACAGGCCTAAAGCGTTTTCACCTCCATCGTACTTCTAGATGGCGAAACGTATAAGAATATTAACGGGATCTTGTGCGTGTTACACAGAAGAGAGAAACAGCAGTCACAGTTCGCAATGAAAAAACATAAGGGCTCCCATGGGAAGACTCACTTGAAATAAGACCTCATCAAACTTCATAAGTCTAGGTTGAACACACATCACGCGCTGGTTTGTAAGGCTCACCTTGCAGGATGTAGACTGGTAGATTCATCCGACGTCTCTATCACGTCACCTGGTGTGTCGGCCATTAAAGTGCTATCCTGCACAGTGCATTCAAGCACTGCACCTGACGAAAAGTTTGACAGCGACTCTGCCCAGGGTACCACTGCGTTTGCGAGGCTCTTTACCCTATCAATCCGTTCAGCCACAGCTTGCTTCTGAGCTGAAACCTGCTGTAACGACAACTCCAAGTTTGCTGCGCTATCCTCAGAGACTTTGTCTTGTGCAGCAGAAAGCATTTGGTGTTGTTCCTGCAGGCGTCTGTGACGAGCTTCCAACGCGCCGCTCAGGTCCTCAAGGAATTCGATAGCGAGGCGGTGCATCTCAAAGAGCATGAGGACAACTTCTTGCGACGGAACTCTGCACTGCGCTGCAGTCTCGCAGTCCCTGATGTACTGCAGCAGCCGCAGAGGAGTCGTCGCCTCTCTTTCCAAGGCCTCCACAAGCGCCAAGCCCAGCTTTTGTTCCTGTGTAGTGGCATCATTCCGCAGCTGCATCATCATCATGCACAGCTCGTCCCGCTCACCGTTTCGCTCGACAAGCTGGTACCTGAGCTCTTCCGCCTCTTCGTGGAGGCTTTCGAGAGTGGTCATTCCCTCTCTAAACGCCGCAGCTTCGGCCTCCTTTGAGGACCGTTCATTAACCAAGGTGGCCATAACACATTCTTTCTCCACCAGCTGGCTTTCAAGTTGTGCCAGCCGCTGTCGAGTCGAGTTAAATTCATGTTCTCTAGCAGCGATGTCATTCCGCAGCTGAGTCAATGTGGCACGCAACTCTTCCTTCTCCTGATCACGCTCAACGAGCTGCTGCCTCAACTGCTCCGCGTCCTCCCCGAGGCTCTCCAAAGTGGACAGCTTCTCCCTCAACGCCACAATCTCAACATCCAACTCTTTCATGCGGGACTGTTCCCCTGTCAAGGCATAAATGGCCGCTTCCTTCTCTTCCAGCTGAATTTCAAGCTGCAGCTGCTGCTGCCGGACAGAATCAAGTTGCCGATCACTAGCCTCCTTTTCGCCCGCTAGTTGCATCATAGCCATGTGCAACTCGTCCCTCTCCCCGTTACGCTCGACCAGCTGCCGCCTCAGCTCTTCCATCTCTTCCTGAAGGCTCTCTAAAGTGGACAGCTTCCCCCTCAATGCCACAATCTCAACATCCAACTCTTTCATGCGAGACTGTTTCCCTGTCAAGGCAGAAATGGCCGCTTCCTTCTCTTCCAGCTGAATTTCAAGCTGCAGCTGGTGCTGCCGGACAGAATCAAGTTGCCGATCACTAGCCTCCTTTTCGCCCGCTAGTTGCATCATAGCCATGTGCAATTCGTCCCTATCCCCGTTACGCTCGACCAGCTGCCGCCTCAGCTCTTCCATGTCTTCCTGAAGGCTCTCATAAGTTGCCAGCTTCTCTTTCAATGCCACAGCCTCAGCTTCCGCATCTTTCACGCGAGAGTGTTCTTCGGTCAAGGCAGCGACGACCGCTTCCTTCTCTTCCAGCTGCCTTTGGAGCTGCGCCTGCCTTTGTGCGGCTTCTTGAAGCTTGCTGTCTGCAGTGTTCAGAGAAACGGAAAGCAAAGCAGCTTCATTTTTCAGAGCATCCAGCGCCGCCTGTGTGCTGGAAGAAAGCTCTTCGAGCTCGCGAATGCGGGCGTCCTTTTCAGTCGCAACCACGAGCGCCTGCTCCAAGCAGCCTTGTGTTGAAGCTAGCTGTATCAGTCCTTCATCTCGTTCCTAAGAAAGAAGAAACACACAGGGCCTTGCGTGTCAGTAGGAACTCTCTCAAAGAGCAGGCATAAAAATGACACTATCACAACTATTAGTAGATGAAAAAATCCACCAACAGGGCTTGTGTGCTCGAGCTGACGTTTCTGCAAGAGGACTTGTCTTCCTGAAGGCCAGAATTGCTAATAGTACATGCATTTTAAGTGCGATTGCTGGTGCCAGTAATCATCATCACTGAATCTTAATGGCATCAAGTTTCACCTCCTACCAGGTTCAACGAGTCGTCCCGCACACCGATTTCCACAAACCATTTCGAAAATATAATTTTTTGTGTGCTCAAAAGAAACGTAACAGAAATAAAAACCACAGAGTTTCCAGCCCCAGATTTTCATCAGTTTATAGAAATAAAAGGAAGTGAACGACCCCAGAAGAAATAGACGTTCGCGATTTGAAATTAACTAGGTAATTAAATTACTTATTAAATGCTACTATGTATATGATTAGATTATTGTTGTTATACAGTATAACCTCATTACAGCAGACCTCCACAGTGAAGACGATATTGGTCTGTTGTAAAAGTAGTATGTAAAATCCAAGTACTATTACAACAGACTTTTATGAAAATACTGAATGGGTCTGTTATAACCTAATATAATCAAGAGTCATGTCGAATTTATTCTCAATGAGGCATAAAAAGGGTGATTTTTGAAAATCATTCTTCAGTGTCTGTAGCCTTTTTTCTATCCGATTCCAAAATATCTTCACAGAAAGCTACGTAGAAGTGCTTTAAAAAGTTTTTTGCGCTTGCTGTGGTGGTGAAAATTATCGTGGAGGTCACAAAAAAAAAATGGTGTTTTCCAAAAATTTATAGCTTCGTAACAGCACAACTGCCCACCACCATTTTGGGCTCGTCGTAAAAGTATTTTGTAAAGAGCATGCAGTGTTCAAAAGCAGATCCTTGAAATTCATTTGGAGGATTCTGATTGACTGCTTCTACTGTACTGCTCCAGTATGCCTCGCTAATCCAATGCTCCTTCTGGATACGCCTCTGGTATAGCCTGCTTCTTGTGCGTCGCGCAGCCGCGGCTGTCTAAAATCGCACTACTTATCGCGCTCGCTGTGTGTTCAAGGGTTGTTAAGGCATCTCCAAGCGGAAGTTCAGTCTTCAGATTACAATCGCGCATCGTACTCGTCGCGAACATCGCACGCATGCGTCTCGAACCGACTGCCATAGCGTGGACTCGTTGGCGAGAAGGTTTTGCTTATTAGCACTTCGCACCTTGAAAACGAAGGCCATCGCAGGACAGATCTTTGTACTTGCGATCGAGCCTGTGGTACTTCGAAACATAGGGCACCGCGGCCATGCATATCGCAGCCGGGCTTTCTGCTCGAAGTCATGGCTAGGCTTAACTCCGCCCCGAACGTGGCGGGCAAAATTGTCGCGCTAATGAATACGCGAAAGCGAAGAAGCTGTATTGTGTTTCGTCGCAAGCAACAAATCACATCACCCGCTGGTTCCTTAGAACCGGAATCTTGCGCATCAGTAGTGGACCCCAGCCATGCTCTCCACACAACGACCACTCGAAACAGCAGTGGTAGCGGCCAGCGAATTCGCGCGTCAGCACCCCAACACGCAAAATCAAGCACTCTGTGCGCCTAATTTTGTCGCCAAAGCTTGGCATAATTAATCATTAACAGACCAAACATCAGCGACCTTCATTCTTAAATCGTTACACTGATATCCGCAGCACAATTACCGTATATACTCGTGTAAGGGCCGCCCTCGTGTAAGGGCCGCACCCCAACTTTGAAAGCGGATATTTCGAAAAAAAAAAAAAACAAAAGTTCAAAATGTCCCGCCAGAAAAGTGTAGTTAGTTCATTTACAGCCAGATGGCGCTGCACGCTTTTCCGCTTTTATTCTACTTCCGCCGACGCGCCGACCACGCTGTTGACAGCGCGCCGCCATATTTGCCTTGTGCGGCCTCTTTGTTGGCATCGTTCCTAGCATCGTGTCGATACGTTGGCAGCGCGACTTCAGATCGGTGTCGTCGGTGTCACTTTGTTGGTTGTAGTGAACCCTGCAGAAGCCAGCGCACGTGACGGACGATGGGCCGGCATCTGAGATCATTCACTGCAGCATTTAAGCTGCAAGTGATTGACATGCCGAGGAGCACGGGAAGCGGGAAGCTGGACGAAAGTACGACGTCGATGAGAAGCGCGTGCGTTACTGGATGAATCAGAAAGATGCCCTCGCCGCTACTAACAGGAGCCGAAAGGCGTTTCGCGGGAAAAAGTGCAAGTACCCGCAACTCGAAAGCGAGCTCGTCAACTACGTCGTCGACACACGAAGGGACGGCTACGCCGTATCGACTGACATGATACGCGTCAAAGCCCTCAGCATCGCTCGCCACATGGAAATACCCCCGGCACAATTCAAGGCAAGTCGGGGCTGGGCTACGCGGTTTATGAACCGTAACCAGCTTTCTATTCGGCGCCGAACGACGATTTGCCAAAAACTGCCGCGCGAGTACGAAGACCACGTCATTAAGTTTCATCGCTTCGTGAATGCTCTCAGGAGGGAGCATGAATACGACCTGTCCCAAATTGGGAATGCGGACCAGACACCTGTGTGGTTCGATGCACCGGAAAGCACCACAGTGGATTTAAAAGGTGCGAAAAGTGTGTCTGTGCGCACGACTGGTGCAGAACGCCAAAGGTGCACTGTGATGTTGTGCATCACGGCAGACGGCAGGAGGCTTCCGCCGTACGTCGTATTTAAAAGGAAGACTCTCCCAAAAGAGAAGTTCCCTCAGGGAATCGTCGTACGTGCGCAAGAGAAGGGCTGGATGTCCGAGGAACTGGTCGTTGACTGGATTAAGACCGTCTGGGCAAACAGACCTGGAGGGCTGTTACAACGGAAAGCCCTCCTTGTTTTGGACAGCTTTAGGGGCCACTTGACCGACCGCGTCAAGAACCGAGTTGCCGCAACTCGTACGGACTTGGCCGTCATTCCCGGTGGCCTGACGAGTGTGCTGCAGCCGCTCGACGTATGCGTCAACAGACCATTCAAAGTGGAATTTCGCCGATGTTACTCTGAATGGATGGCTGGAGGCGTCCACGAGAAGACCCCTACAGGACGGCTGAAGCGGGCGTCGCTCCAACAGGTGTGTGAATGGATTTTGAATGCGTGGCGTGCCATGTCAGTAGAAGTAGTTGCTAAAAGCTTCAAGGTAACGGGAATTTCGAACTCCATGAACGGCACCGAAGATGACCGTCTCTGGGAAGACGCGGACGCCGAGGCGAGCTCCTCCGAGAACGAGGACAGCGAAATGGAATCCGAATAAAAACATTTCTGGCATGTCATTTGTGACTCTTGCACTCTGCTACTGTTGCATAAACAGTACAGACCTTTGGCCTGTACTGCCTGTACTAAATCGGCCTGATTCGTGTAAGGGCCGCACCTAGCAAAATTTTCGAAAAAAAAGTGCGGCCCTTACACGAGTATATACGGTACCGTCCCGAAAGTATGTCACGCAATGCTTTCAAGTTGGAAGTTATAGGATTTAGAATGTCCATGGCAGAAAAGTCGCTGTAAAGAAGTCCTGACCACCTTGCAGGCCTAAAATTTCAGTCAATTATATACGAATGTCCGTTGTACCAGAATTCAATGGAAAAATGGGGAGGTCGGCATAATGCCAGCAATCGATATGTAGTAACCGAATGTCTATTGTAAGCGGATCCGTTGTAACGAGGTTATACTGTAGTCGAATGTTGAGTGCCTAGGAATAGTTTGCAATTTTGACACATATATACGCTTCTTACCAAGTCATGCCTTAACAGGTTAAAGCATGCTTTAATTTCCTGCAACTCCACTCAATCATTTCAGATTTTTTCGGCAGTCAATTCACAAGCGGATAAACTCCGATAAAGAGAGCAATCGATAACTTTTGGAAAAGTGATGCAAGATACCCTTAACGTAGCAATTTTTGGGAAATTTTATCCAGCCAATGTGGCAAATATGGACAAGGCACTCCAGAATTTTTGATATCTCAATCACAATCAGGTGCCTGGGTTCTCCAGGTACAAGATTAGAAAATTATACTTTAGCCTTCATCTTAAAATGAACCGATAATCTCGACAAAAATAGAATAAAGTTCCCAAAGAATAATTTATACTTCTAAAGTGTTGCAGTATTTCGCTTTTGTGCTCAATCATATAGATACCACAGTGCAAAGTTAATTATAGTAATAGTAATAATAATGGTTTATTTTCCACCTTTACACATATGATGGAGGGGGTGAGAAAAAAGTAACTACAGTCGAATCTCGGTAATTCGAACTCGAAAAGCCTGGAAATTTGTTCCAACTAAAAGAAGTTCGAATTAATGAAAGCTAAATAAACAGAGGGCTCTCCATGCAGTGGCGCATGTGCATTGAGCTAACACACGAGGGGGAAGTTTCAGAAGACTTAGTTATTCACAAATCACAGGACATCTGGCATTAATTGAAGTAATCAGTGATGCACGTCTGTACATGTTTGCCTTGCAGAGAGTCAATTTTGTACGCAGCTTGCAAAGCATTCCTACTTCAGCTTCAGCATTTTCCTGGCAAGAGAAGTTGCGCGTGGAAATGTCCTCTTACGACGACGATGACAACGACTGCGTAGCAGAGCCGCAGCATGGTCAGCATGTGACGAGAAAGGCGGACCGTCTCCACGGGGATAGAGGCCGATCGGCATTTGAGATAAAACCAACAATCCGTGGCAGCTTTTTTTTTTTTTTTTTTTTTGCTCTCTTCGCGCGAGTTGTTGAAGGGAAAAAGGTTATGTGGCAGGGACGGGAAAGGGGGAAGCGTGGCACCAGCGCGTGAGACCCCCCCCTCAAGGCCCAGAGACATGCTCCTGCAAGGGCTGCAGAACATCGTGCCTTTTTCCTTTCCTTCCACCACACATTCATTCAACCCCGCGACTAGGCACTGCGCCGTGCTCCCGACCGGCTGCAGAAATTAGGTGCCTTTCTCCTATTCTAACCACTACCACCACCACCACCACCCCTCAACAGCTTCCTTTTTTCTCTTCTCTCTCCGCGCGCGGCGCTAAAAGGAGAAGGGTCTTTACGTGGCGGGGACAGAAAAGGGAGAAGCGTGATACAGGCGCATCGCAGAACATCATTTGAGAGAGAGCAAGCCTTCCACCGCAGCCTTTTCTTTCTTTTTCCTTTCCTTCGCTCGCAGTGTTGAGGTGTCGCAGGTGCCGCCGCGGGATTGGGCGGGGTGCTGAGAGCATTTTCAGAGCGCGGTATGTTCGAATTACCCGTCGCAAGAGCTTGCGCGTTTGAATTACCGGGCATTTTTGCCAATTGGAATACACATAGCTTTGACGGGACCTTATTGTGAGTTCGAATTAACCGGAAGTTCGAATTAAGCGTGTTCAAATTAATGAGATTCAACTGTATTCACTTCACTAAGTTTCCCCCCCCCCCTCCTATTTGCATAAGGCCGTCGCGGTGGCGGCAACAGAACACCACAGCTGACAAAAGTACACAACATATACATCGCATAAACAAAATTAGGAGTTATAAAACTTTTAAACTCACTGCAGAGGATTGTCATGACCGAAACAAACATACACACATACACACACTGTGCAATAAACATATATAGAAATAGAATTAAAAGAAAAAAGTACTAACAGCATTTCTATCCACCAGATCATGCTCCAGTGCCTGCCGCTCCGCAGCTTCTTCGTCTCTCTGGCAAGACAGGACCTTCAGCTGGGCAAGCAGCTCCTGCTCCCTCACCACCGACTCGTCGTACTTGTTCCTCAGAGCCTCGCACTGCTGCTCAAACTCCGTGCACTGCCTGGATGCCCCAACCAGCTGTGCCCGCAGCGTTTCCAGCTCTTGCTCTTTCTCGCAGAGCTTCGATATAGTTTTCTTCAGCTCCTCGATCTCTTCCATCTTGTGGCAAAGCTCCCCCTGAATACGATCCACCTCGCGTGTCAGCAGCATGTCGAATTCCTCCTGGAGAGCGTCAACCTGTGTGCTCTTGGCTGCGAGCTGGCTACCAAGAATTGTCGCCTTTTCCTCAAGATCCTCAATTTTCCTCTTGCTCAAATCGAGCTGTTCCTCCAGTTCCGCCTGCGTAAACATCCACACCTTCTTCTCCTCGAGCAACGCCGAGCATTGCTCCTCCTGCTCAGCTAACTTCGAGTTTATTGCTTCCAGCCTGTCGGCCACTGCCTTGCGCAGTTCTACCTGCTCGCAAACTTCCTCCTTCAGCTTGTTTATCTGTTTTGTCTTCTCCACAAGCTCCTCCTCGAGCACTTGTTTATCCTCAGCCGCCTTCATGAGCGAAGCCTCCCGCTCCTGCTCAGCACTCGCGATTTGCTTCCTCAGTTCATCTGCCACGGCTTCTCTCTCCTTGACGAGAACAGTTAGGGAGAGCACTTCGCTGTCCCTAGACTCGACGAGTTGAAGGCATTGTTGGTACTCCAGCTGCAGAGCAGCGTACTTGTCACTTGCCGCAGCGAGCTGGGACTCCAGGGCATTTTTCGAGGACTCCACTTCATTAAGGCTCAGGCTCGTTTGCTCCAGCAGCTTAGAGAGCTCTTTCTCGGCGGAAATGTCTAGCTTCAACGCCGCAATCTCCGCTTCTTTCTCTTCCGCGAGCCGTCGCTGATCAGCCTCTGCCTGCTGCAGATTCTGCACTTTCTGCACGGTGTCATTCAACTCTTTCTTCATCCCTTCGAGCCGAACCTCTCTTTCCTTGAGGGCTGATTCATGCTCCATCAACGCCCTGTCACTGTTGAGCAGTTGGTCCCTGACCAAACCAAGCTCAACTTCCACTTTCTGCGCATTCTCCTGCAGCGTTTCAGCCTGACTCTCAAACTCTTTCAAGGCCGATTCCTTTTCCGAAAGGCTCTTAAGCAGAGTCATCTTCTCGGTTTCCCTTTCAGAGAGCAAGCTCTCGAGTTCTCGCAACGTCGTTTCGCTTTTGGCAAGCTGCACCCTGGATTCTTCAAGCGCGCTCTCGAGACAAGGTACCTTTTCACATTCTGCCGTCCGGCGTGCTAATTCGGTCTGAAGAACCTCTTTCTGTTTTTCACTCTCTTCCAAAGCAGTCTTGATCTCACCGCTGAGGTTTGTAGCATCCTCGAGGTCCTTCCTTAGTTTTTCTGCACTGGCAACAAGGTTCCGGCCATCCGCAACTTCCTTTTCAAGGCTCGCAGTTCGTGCCTTTTCATCCGACACCTGCGACAACAGTTGTTTGACCTCACTCGAAAGCTGCTTGACGGTGTCGTCGAGAGCCTGCTTCGATTTGGCGAGTGCGGACGCCTCCTGTTCTTTCTCGCGGAGTACCTTGGCAAGAGTGCGGCTCTCTTCCGCAACCTTGCGCAGGTCTTGCACTTCCAGCTCCAGAGTCGACGCTTTTTGGGAAGCTTCCTTTTCGCGTCGTTCACAGTCTTCTAGCTTCGACTCAAGCTTGTTAAGTCTCGTGCTACTGTCCGCGGCAGTCCTTTGCGACTTGTCAAGCTCCGCCCGCAGCCGCTCTGCATTGCCATTGCTCTGCTGGACAGCCTGCCGAAGCTCTTCTATCTTCTGCTTTGCCTCTTCCAGCTGAGCCTCGAAGTTCTGGCATCGAGCAGCCTCTCGCTGTAGCTCAGAACGGCACTTAGACAGTTCTTTTTCCAGGCTTTGCTTGTGATTCTCAGCGGCGAGAAGCTGATTCTGCAATGAAAGCACGCATGCTATCAGAAAAAAAAATACACCGAACTCACTACAGTTCGTCATGTGATTGACTTGAAAAAAAAATGTGCAAAGACTTCTAATTTAACAAACAACATACCTTGGCGTTAGCCAACTGGCTCAGCAATTGTGCTAACTCTTGTGATTGCTTTTCCAGTTCTTGTGTGGATTTGTGCAGCTGCGCCTCGAGACGACAAGATTCTCTGTTCGCACTTTCCACGGCAGTCTCCAGCTCGCGAACTTTAACTTCCAAGTTAGCATTCCTGATAAACAAAGAAAAAGATAATGAGTGAAAGCGTGACCCATATTACCATTCTGCCTAATTTGGAGCTTAAGCCAGAAATAATCTGGTTTGCCATGCTTGCAAACGACTAGCAAGGCAATCAAATGTTCTCTCATACTCATAGCCTCATATTTTTTATCATTTCCAAGCTTCACATGATTTAGCATCTTTCCTTACTAACTGAAGTCACACCAGCAAAGGATCATGTTTCTGTTTACATTTCCAACAGAATTGCAAGGTCAACCAGAAGTGAACAGCCAATACCCCCTCCCCCCCCTCCCATCATCCAGTTAGATGTGGCATTGCTATGCTTGTCCCCTGCAAGCCAAGTTTCTGCTGTATCAATTAACTGCTTATTCACACTGCCAGGAACCAGGTTTACTTTATTTCCTTTATTGTTCCCTCAGTCTGCATAATCATCTATACAAAAGCAGCAAGCCTACAAAATAAGCACAAAAAATAAACAAAGGTAGGATTATGTACAGAAGCAGTGACATAAAATAGTGAAGGTTATTGCACCAACAAGCTAGCTGCAGCATAAAGTTCGTAGCAGTGTGCGCACACCCACGCACACAAAGCTCGTTACGGTATAACCTTGTTAATACGTGCACACGCTGAGAACCTGTCAGGAACGTGGCTATCTAACACTAAACGTAATATGCATTAACCGCCAAGAGCATAAGTGTGCGCAGGGATTCACTTCAGGGGGGGCGGGGCGAAGGTTCGTTGCAGTCTTCCCCTATTATGTCAATGTATGGGGCTGAATTTGAAGCCTCGTCTTGCCCTTTCTGCCCCCCCCCCCCCCCCCAAGCAAATGGCGATGACCAAGTATCAATTTGCATTTTTTTTCGTACACAATCACCGCTGAAAAAGGAATAAGCGAATTGCAACAACAAATATTGCCTATGCCCACCACGAAGCGATTTGTTTCTTTTTGCCAATGTTCAGAAATGATTGGCCTTCTCGCTTGATTGTCCGATGGCGTGTGGTGGCGACACCAAAGAGCATTTCAAAACTACTGCGGAGTCTGGGATACACAGCTAACAAAGCGACTGACATAGCAACGAAACGGACATAACCGGCTGTCCGAGATAATCGCCTTTGTTCTTCGCCAATGGTTACCAGAAAACGCAATGCCGCAATCACAGGGAAGTCGCGCAACAATTGATCGGCCGGTTTCGTGTTTTTGCAGTGCTGCAAGTGTACGGGAATGAAGCAGCATAAGTGTACAAGATGGCGACCATAACGTAATATCCGCTCTCGATGCGTGCTGTCAACATTACTTTTGGCTCCAAAATCACCTTGTGGCCCAGCAATGGTGCAATTTAGACAAAAGAGACCCTTTTGGAGCAGTAGGGTACAGAACTTTGTAATAGGCGCAGGTTTCCCATCACTGCGTGATGACATAGTCCAGTTCCTGGCAGCATGAATGAACTATGCTTGCCTACTGAACACAGTAGATACACTGTACAGTATGCATAGGGCCTTCACTCTACATATGCTCATGCATGCTAAGCGACACAGGTCCTAAAAGCTTCAATGCAGCTCTCACAAATGGGACAGTGATACACACCTTGCCCAATCACTTCACTAGTTTGTCCTGCAATGCATGCATTCTTGTGGGAGTAAAAAAAAAGAGGAAAACATGCCAATAGCATAACACGCAAATAGCCTTTCATTCTGGACGAGCTGTTGTAATGAATCACACTGAAAAGCAATGCACTGTCACGCTGTTGCATATTTAAACACACTTTCTAGTCGCAATGCTGCATTTTGTTGCACACAACCCACCCCTACAAGTGACTGACGCCCATAGCTAAAACCTGCAGAAAAAACTTGAGAAGGAGGATCCCTGTGTGTTAACTGTACGCTCTAGCCATGCCAACTTATGTTACTCCGCAGCTAACACTGGCAACGCAAACTGAGAGAAAAACATTTTCACTCAGTTCAGTGTCTAATGTCACTCCCCGCTTTGTACAATAACAATAATAATTATTGGGGTTCAACATCCTAAAACCACCATGTGATTACGAGAGACGCCGTAGTGGAGGGCTCCAAAAATATCAGCCCCCCTGGGTTTCTTTAACGTAGAGCTATATCTAAGCAGACGAGCTTTAAACATTTTGGCTTCCATCAAAAATGTGGCCATCGTGGCTAGGGTTCCATCTCGCGACCTGCAGGTCAGCAGCCTAGTGCCTTTGCCACTAGAGCCCCGTGGAGAGTATCACTACCCTATCGTCATCCACTGAAAATTTCGACCATTGCTTTCACGACCATTACCTTTGCATTGCTGTGAAATTTGCACTTAAACAGCCACCCAACTTTAGCTCCGAACATCCCATATTTTCAGAGCTCGCTATACTGGAGAAAACTGGATATATTTCATAAAACACAAAATTTTTCCAAATTGATCTACACACCCTTTTGTCAACACACTATAGGCTACAAGCTCACAAACACTTACTTCGCTTCGACGGCCTTGGCAGCCTGTTCCTGGTTCTTGAGAGCTCGGTTCACATCGGCCAGTTGGGTCAACGACTGACGCTCCCCTTGTTCCAGCCTCGACACCTCTTTCCTCAAGTCCGCTACGAGACCCTCCTGGGCGCTGCGAAGAGCAGGAAAGCGAAATAGGGCTACTGCCTGTGGTCTTTTGTGCCCCCCTGATGCATATGCATTCCTGCCCAGCTCACTCGACATGGTGATAGCAGACGAGAGAGTGGCCTGCAGGATCATCAGTACTTCTTTTTTGTGCGAATTGGTCGATCACCGAAAAATCTTAGCCTAGTTAGAAATCTTCTGCAGAAACAGCACAGCTGTGGTTTCTCCTGCGTTTCCATTGCGATTTTCTGTGACGTTTTTAGGATTACACAATTTGTAGAGTAGAGGAGCACAAAAAAGGACGTGTAGACGCCCATTGCCACACCTGCCCCAGCCACAGTGACTTTAGGCCTGAATCACGCTCGAGCCGCCCCTCCCTGTCTCACTGTACAGCTATGGCTTTGTCATTAATCGAGGCAGTTACGCCATCTATGGGTGTATCTGGGAACCGAAGATGACAAGCAACGCAGACACTCCACACAACAGACGGCATGTGAACACTCAAGACAATGAGAAAAACAGGGAAGGAGTAAACTCGAACACTATTATAATTAAATGGTGTGAACGAAGTAAATAAAATTTTCTTCAAACAGTTCGAAGAGATGCATGCATTTGAAGTGGGTTTGTACGAATAATGAATTTTAGGTTCGAAGTGGATGGCGATTTTGATTAAATAACTTCAAATCGAATTCAAAAGTATATATTTCGTATATTATAAAGAAAAAAAGGCTAACCTAACTAATCTGCACAATATCTAAAGAAACTGAAACAAGGCCTGGGCAAATGTTTTTCTTTTCTGGGCAAATGTTTTTCTGCATCAAAAAATGTGGACACAACTTTGAATAGTAGCAGGATTTGACTAGCAGAATTGGAATGCGAGTGATGTCTCGTAAATGACAAATGAATCGTTGGGGGGGGTTACATCCTCACTTAACCTTTAAGTGGGGCTTCATTGCAATGCTAACTTCTCCTGGGTACATGTTTTCACTGCTTGGCACTACTTCACAGTGAACCCTTTGACAAGTGCTTTTACGGCTCAGCACCACTACTGCAGCAAAACCACCTTTACAAAATGACACATACGAATTAATATGGATCTATTCGTTCATTTTGAACAGTTCGAATACTGCACTATTCATCTGAATACTGCGCTATTCACTTGAATATTCCAAGCATCCGAATATTCGCACAAGCCTAATTTGAAGCTTTGCTTTAACATAACAAGACCTGTCAATGAATATCTTTGACAGATGGTAAGTGGGTTTAATTCCATGCGAAAATCTTCAGCCCGTATGTCAGTATGATGTAACAGACTTCAATGTGCTTTTCTTTTCAAATTTTGGCCACACTAGCAGGACAACACCTGGTGCGACTTGGTATACCAAGTTTCTGGCACACTCAGAGGACATTGTACACCATTTTCAGCAATTCAGAACTACTCTGGCCACAGCAGATGCAATAAAAAATATAGGCCGTCACAGTGCATCAGTGCCACAACTTGAAGGTGGCATCACGACCTTCACATTGATTTCGGGCCTTTCCTCACTTACCACACCACAATGCCTCATACTAGCGCACTAAAAAGAAATCTGGCACTAGTGCCCATGAGAGCTGCAATGCATCGCGTTTCAGCCAGCACGTGAATAATGGGTAGTAGGCCGATTCGTCTAAGCTTCGTTCTTTCGGCTCCGTGTGGCTTGCCGCCACTTTTTCACTAGTTTTGCAAAAGTTTAGCTGTCCCACTTCATCACCTTGACCATTTTAAGCAGGCTAATACAAATCAGCTCATAAAGTTTACAACACAGTTAAAGCTGCTTATAACGAACCTTCATATAACGAATTCCTCGATATAACGAACTTTTTCTAGTCCCCGCTGTTGCTTTATAAAAGCACATGTATTTGCGACCTCTCTGTAACAAGGTACCAGCGAGAGACAACTTTGATATAACAAATTTTCCACACAAAACAATCGAGGAATCTTGCCCAAGATTCTGGCATTTTGGTACAAGCATGCATCTTTTGCGGTTGCCGTGCTTCCGCCTAAGCACGAAACGGCGGCATGGCCCCGGTGATTCCCAGGCGAGAGCGAGCACTTGTTAATGCGAACAGGCGGGCCTGCGCCCCATGAACAATGCTACCGTTTCCTCCATCCAGCTTTGCTTATTTTTTTTTCTTAAAGGGCCAGTCAACAGGCTCCGACGTTTTTTTGACACCCTGCAAACAAGCTTGGTAATTCGTAGAGTAGACAGCAGCGATCACATTTTCTGAATATTACAGAGATGCGCGCCACGCACAGCCTCCATTTCGAAAAACAATTACCGTGCTCCTTTCCTACGCCTTATCAATCTTCTTGCACGCGCAATGACAGAAACTCGGCGATCGGCCACCCATACTTGCCAAGTTCAAGGATTTTGAATCCGGAAGATTCCCGCAACTGGGGGGGGGGGGGTGCAATGAGTTATTTGCCCCTTTGCTTCTATTTTTTTTAGCACCAAAAAAAGAAACCCATGGACAAACAAGCAAAAAACCACGCGAAAAACAAGAGGGGGTGGGTCTCATTTGCAAGCGCCAACATCAGTGATGCACTCTTACAGTGGCTTCGAGTGGCCGAACACACGAGGGTAGGATTTCCCACTGAGGTGAGAGTCTCAAAGGATCAACACAGCTAGCACAACCTATTTTCTTCAAAACAACTCAAAACAACTCGCGTATGTCTTCCTGGGACACACGTGAACGGAAGGGACGGCGCAGCTGGCTGCCGCAAAAGCACAAGTCAAAGCTCTACTCACAACTACCGTATTTACTCGCGTAATCCTCGCACCCGCACAATTCTCGCACCCCCCACATCGTCCAACAAAAATACGATTTCTTTTTTTCCTCGAGTAATTATCGCACCCCCGAAAACTGCTGCAATAATGTAGTCTGCTCTTCCCAGCCACTGATGATGATTGCGCACGTCATCTGGCGCCATCTCTTAAGCATCAAGCGTACTATTGCACAGAGATTCAATCCAACTCAAGCGAAGCCGAAGTGGCCAGTGCGTGTTTTGTATGTTGCGTTGGTAACCTTGTCAAGTTATGAGGCAATACTGAAGCTGTACGGCTGCTTTCAATTTGCAAGTGATAGATAATGCACTAAAGAACAACAACAGGGCCGCCGGTAGGCCCTTGGGATTGATGGTAAACTTTATTTGTTAAGAAGGAAACTGCGGACAATACTGTTAAATAGCCATCAGCCCAACACTGACGTCCCAAGCTTACCTTTTGAGGGCTCCTGTTGAGCGACGAATGCTACCGCTATGCCCGCTACGTCCGCAAGCTTTGCGTATAATATTCTAATTCTCGACTATTTGCTTCCACTTTCTGCGTCTCAATTTAATCTTATCTTGTGTTGTATCTCTGCTTTCATTGTTGAGGAAAGTTTTAATTAGTACTTCTTAAATCTTGCTGTTAGTTGTTGGTGTGAGAATACCGATTTGCGGCCACTTCGTTTTCTTTTTTGCTCTGTACGTTTTCGTAGAGTTTTCTCCGCGCAATTCTCGCACCCCCCAACTTTTCATCGGTTTTCCCGGCAAAAAAAGTGCGAGGATTATACGAGTAAATACGGTAGATTCTTTTGACAGGAACGCCAAAAACCCGTCTGGCCCCTTTTTATTGCGATAGCAATTATATGAACAGTCTAGGCTGGTGTTTTGCCGTCGCCGCTGTCATTCACTGTATATGTATACGTATCTATGTACCTATATATATGAGCGCTCAAGAAAAAAAAAAATGCCCGCACTCAGCGCCCAGCTCGTCCCGGTGCGCCGACGCACGCTTATCTCTCACGCGTACTATGCCCCGCGGATGGGAAGAGGGGTAAATGCTTGTGTGCTTGTATCTTTTGGTGGGGAGAATCGTGTGCCTTCGGCTATCACTGGAACGATTGCGTTAGTTGCCCGGCCCACAAAGGTCACTTCCGTCTCTGCACAGGTCCCCTTTGTGAAATCAGCGCGCTTTTCATACACAGCAAGGTATAACTGGAACACTTCTTAGTTTCCACTACTCATATGTACTTGTTATTACGTCTCGTGCATCGTTTTTCTTTAAACAGCGCATTACGTGTCGAGCGGTAAACAGTGTTAGTTCTCTCTCGTCCTGTGTGTATCGTTTTCATGTGTCATTTGTGAGTGAGCAGCGCGCTGCCTGTTTCGCTTTGCTTGCCGTTCTCAGCGAGACCCTCCAAGCTGTTGCTATTGCATTTATTGCTTCGCCTTTGCAGCAAAACTGTGACTTTTTTTACGTATTTACGGCCTTTAACCTACCGCTGCGTGTCCTCGGAGCTCGTAGATCGCTATCGCGTAGCCGCGACCGCGGTTATGCGCGCGGCAGCCATTTCATGCCACCTACGATCGCATCTGCCGCAGTTTTGTACGCAGAGTTTGCGGAAAGCAGCGTTGCTTTGATTGGTCGAGCGCACACTTTCGGGGCTCTGTCAGTTACGTCGCCGCCATACATGATTGCATCAAGAGCGACCACGGTTTCGTCGACAGCGGTTGTGGCAACGACAATCACACACACTGTAGAAGACAGTGCGAGCGCTGGTCGCACACGTACTTCCGAAGCTTCGAGTATGCCGCTCTCAGCCTTTGTTCTACAATTTCCGTACTAAGTCCGTATCACCCGCCGCGATTAGAAAATGTGTTCGGAACATAAAAATTTAGGCCCAACAGACATAGTGAAATTTGGCTGGAGAATTTCACGAATTTGTATCTGCCGCGGTTTCGCATCACTGAGATTCTACTGTACGTTTAGATGAACACCTCTTAAACTCATTCGTAATAAAATGGGGCAGGTTAGAAAAGCCTGGAGCGTACCGAGCTGCTTTTTTGTCAATGCGGCCAGATCACGAACAGAAATTTCGATTTCCGGGAGATTTTCATGAAAACCGTACAAACGGAAAAACTGTCCTAATCCGGGAGTCTCCCGGCCAATCCGGGAGATTTGGCAGGTATGGGGACGTGACGCAGCACACAGCTCGTCGATTGGTCCAAACCAGGTAGGTCTCAACAAACAGTAGTGAAGTAAACGACAGTTCCTGTTCCCACCCACAGAGCTATTCAATCATACGAGTAGCGAAACTCCCCATAGGCTCCATGCATCGAAATCGGGACACTTCACTGACCCAGTCTTTGGAAGTGAACAGACTGTCCCGCCACCTGTTGATAGGCACACCCACTAATAAGCACATAATTTGTGTTTTGTATTAATGCTCCCAGATGGCGCAGCAGTCCGCTCTCCAAAAAATTGAACTCCAGAAAAATTGGGCAACTTCATGTCCCGGTCTTAGAACACAGTTTTGCTGCAAATCGTTGTCGGCTGAAAATCGAGCGACTGGGCTGCGGAAAAGCATCAGTACAGGGTAAACGGAAAACAACCAGGCATCGCAGCAAGCAGAAGTGCATTGCGACTGATCAAGTTCGCCGATGACGTAAATCGCTGACGTCTTGTCATATTGCTGAAGTGGGCGGAGTCACGATGACGGGCCACGTCTTTCCCTTCCTCTGGAGGAGAAGGGTTGCAAGACCGCGTGAGAAATTGAAACCAGCTGAACGCGATGTTTTAGCCCCTGCAAATTCCTTAATATAGCACGCATTTGCGAAATTCTTGCGGCAGCATGTTAATGAAGTAAAAGTGCACATATTTCTCTTTACAACAATTTTTCGACCTTAGGGTTGTTTACTGGCCTTATAAATGCGGACAACCATGTTGCCACCATTGAGGGGATGTCAGATTAGGCACCGATCAAAACTCTCCCAGACCACGGTTATGACGGATTACGGAGGTCAACTCGTCATGCGCTTTTGTCTTGTGCCGCTCCGCGAGTTCGTAGGCTCGCAGCTTTCAGGATTAGCGGATTAGTTCTGGCAATAAAACCTCGGCATGTTAAATGCAATGCAATGAACATAATAGCAAAAAATTTGAGAATGTTATTCGAAGTAAGGCTGGCAGTGAACTCTTTTGGATCCGATACTGCGGAACACCTACAAAACGCTGGTGTGAGAAAATACTGCCGCTCCAGGGAGACGTGCTCTTTTATCACAGTCTCTTGGCATTGAAAGCGCACTGATACTTGTCGAGATAGAGTGCACGGTTGGAGCAGCACTTCGATCCCTAAATATTACAAGAATGGTTTTCTTTTTTTGTGTGTATGTGTTTGGTGCACCGTTATGTTTCACTGAGCCTTGGGTGGGTGGTTCAATGATACAAGCAGCACTTACGAGAACTTGGCCTCGCTGCGCTCCAACTGGGCCTTGGTGGCATCAAAAGACTTGGTCACAGCTGTGAGCTCCTGCTGAAGACGAGTTTGGACGTCATTGAGCTCCTTCACCAGACGACCATTCTCTGTAAACACCAGACACCGAAAAATTTTAGATGCAAACTTCGGCGCTGACTAAAAAACAACAACACAAAGCTGTCGCATCCTGAAAGGCGACGTAAAGATTAAGTAAGGAAAATTTACAACCACCCGCTTATAGCGCAAAACCGCGAAAAATTCTGTACAGATTGCTTAGAAACAACAGAAAATTCATCCTGGCCCGGGGATTGAACGCAGAATGAATGCCTTTACAGAGAGGTCACTCTACCATGAGGGTCTTGAACTCCCCTCAACTAGCAGGCCACAGTCAGCATTTAGTCCCACAAAAACTAGGTGAAGATAAGATAAAAAAAGGGGGGGGGGGGGGGGGGGGGGGGACTAAACTGAAAATTTGGCACCAGTATTGTTATCCTCGGGGCTACACACCCATGATTGAAAAATGCAAACATATGTGAACCACATGAATGAATTCTACATGTGATGAAAACTGAATGAAACACGTCAAGTGAAATTGGCAAAGCACTCTAAACAATTGTGATTTGACTGTAAAGTAAAATGTCCATAACAACAGGACCTACAGGGACCATCTTTCCTGGCCCTATAAGTAGCCTTATTATCGCAAAATAAAACTGTTGAAAGTTGTGCTATCTATGTGTGTGCTTTCTTTGTGTCCTCGCTTTAGTACACTATTACCATTCTTAACCAGCAATATTTTCACTAAATAAAAATTTTCTCAATATGTATAATCCTGCGTCTGCTTTACAAGACAAGCTTGAAGCAAAAGATTGCTGTTTTCCCGCAAACAGTCATGAGCAAGGTATCCCATAAGTTATTAAAGAGCGTAAAATCAGGTTGGGGGGGGGGGGGGGGGGGGCAAGAAGCAGAGAATGAAATATCGAACACTTCTAAACCCGTAGTCATCCCTTACATTCATAAAAAGTCCCATGGGTTGAAGAATGTCGCACATCACCTCAATGTGAAAGTGCTTTTCTTGGCTCCAAATAAACTTATCGCATGTGAAAAAATAGAGAGACCGCAGCCAAAGCGAAGTGCGTAGGAAACAAGAAATGCCAGCTCAAACACAGCTCGCCTTTCGTTCAATGCGTCATAGGAGTTGTGTACCTGATTCTACTGTCATGCGGCCGTGTATACGTGTTCCAAACCAAACTTGTTTAAATATCCATTTACAGGAGCATTACGGAGTGGTGACTTCAAAAGACAATCACCACCTGGCGCGTCATTGCCTTATGTGCGGTTGTTCACCATTTTTTGTTGATGCGACTGTCCTATCAAGGCATAGGGATAAGACCACCCGCAAAATAATCGAATCATTCCACATTAAGAGATGCGGGGAAAGATGTGTTAGCCATCCCTCAATAGGTATTTCATAAAGAGTACTTATATTTGGTGAAATTGCTGTACCAATTTTTTTTGTTTATTTTATCTGCTTATTTATATTTTTGCTTACCTTCTCTGTTCAGACACATGCACCTTACTGATATTTGGTGTATAATGAAAATGTAAGGCGATAAGCGGTAGCAGAGTCGGCACAGAAGCAGCAAGAGCTGGCCGGATATACGGGCGTCGTCGCAGCAGCAACCAGGCAGTCCCAGCTCGCGCCTCGAGCCAACGTGTCAATGTCGCTGCGGTAGTGGGCATTCCTCTTCACTACATATCGTCCCCCGTTGAAAAAAGAGCCATCCTTGCACCTCATGGAGAACAAAGTACGAGCGGATCGTAATATGGTTTCAACCGCTGTACGTGAACGGTTTCGCGACCGCGAAAGCGCTGGTCTGTGGATGGCGTGACGGGTTCAATGATGTAGTTAACAGGTGAAGTCTGCGAGACAACGCGGTAGGGTCCCTGGTATTTTGAAAAAGTTTCGAAGAAAGGCCTCTAGGAACAGCTGGAACCCAAAGCCACACAAGGGTGTCCAGAACAAAGTTAGGGTATGGGTGGTTATCGTCACGCCGAGATTTCTGTCTCCATTGGTCGATGGTTGTGAATGACTGGGCGAGCTTACGGCATTCCTCGGCGCGGCAGGCAGCTTCAGAAATGAGCGTAGACTCGGAGGAATCGGGGTGGTAGGGCAGAATGGTATCTAGTGTGATGGAAGGGTCTCGGCCATATACCAGGAAAAATGGCGAAAAGCCCGCAAACACCTGCGGAGCAGTATTGTAGGCGTATGTCACAAAAGGCAGAATGAGGTCCCAATCGGAGTGGTCTGAGGCATCATACTTAGATATCATGTCGCCAACGGTACGGTTGAATCTTTCTGTCAAGCCATTCGTTTGGGTGGTAGGCAGTGGTAGTCCGGCGAATGATACAGCATTCCGCAAGGCATGCGTTGATGACTTCAGAGAGGAACATGTCCTCTGTCGCTGAGAAGTTCACGCAGTTAGCCGTGACGGAGAATGAAGTTCCGCAGGAGAAAAGATGACACGTTGCTTGCTGTGCCAGCAGGCAAAGCCGCTGTGCATTTCTGCGTATCGCGTCAAGTAGTCGACAGCGACAACGATCCAACGGTTTCCGGAAGCCATGAATGGAAGAGGCCCGTACAGATTGATTCCAATGCGGTCGAAAGGCCTGGCTGGGCAAGGGATTGGCTGGATCGGACCACAGGTGTGATGAGGCAGAGCTTTCCGTCGTTGGCACTGCGGGCATGACTGAATGTACTTGCGCACAAAAGTGTACATGCCTCGCCAATAAAACCGGGAGGAAATCCGAGCATATGTTTTGAAAATGCCAGCATGTGCGCACTGAGGGTCTGCGTGGAAAGCTGAACATATTGCAGCACGAAGATGGCGAGGTATGACCAGTAACCACTTTCGGCGATAAAGGAGGTCATCGTGGATCTCAAAGTGAACCGCTTGACGGCGCAATGTTCGAGAAGATGGAGAAGTCGACAGGTCTGAAAGGAATCGCCGAAGAGCATTGATCCAGTCATCCTTGCATTGCTCAGACGCCATGTCGCAGTTTGCTGAAAACGCAACCGTTTCGTCCACGGCAGATAGGCAGAACTTTCCGATGATACAGGTGAACTCGATAGGGCGTCGGCATCAGTGTGACGTCAGCCAGACCTGTAGACAACACACATGTCAAACTCTTGACACCGCAAAGCCCAACGAGCTAAACGGTCAGAGGGGTCCTTCAACAAGGAAAAACCAACAAAGTGCATCGTGATCGGTAACTACGTCGAAAGGGTTACCATATAGGTACGGTCTAAATTTACCTAGAGCCCAAATAATTGCCAGACACTCCTTCCCTGTTACAGAATAATTCTTCTCCGCTTTGGTGAGGATACGGCTTGCGTATGCGACTATTTACTCCTGGAATCCTGATTTGCGCTGCATGAGTACGGCGCCGAGTCCAACACCGCTTGCATCAGTGTGTACCTCAATCGGAGCAGTCGGGTCGAAGTGACACAAGATTGGCGGTAAGGTTAACAGGTGGCGCAACTTTTTGAAGGTATCATCCCCGGCGGGTGACCAAACGCAACTTTTCGAATCCTTCCGTAAAAGTTCAGTCAAGGGGGTGGTGATCATCGCAAAATTCCGAATAAAGCGGCGGAAATATGAGCAGAGTCCAAGGAAGCTGCGCAGATTCTTCAGAGATGAGGGTTTAGGGAACTCTGCAACTGCCTGAAGCTTGGCGGTGTCAGGAAGAATACAGTCTTTAGAGACAACATGGCCGAGAATTGTGAGCTGACTTGCGCCGAAGCGACATTTTTTCAGGTTGAGCTGAAGGCCGGCGTCGGTCAGGCACTGTAGTACTTCATCTAGCCTGCATAGTTGTGTGGGAAAATCTGGCAAAATATAACCACGTCATCTAAGTAGCTCAGGCATGTTTTCCACTTCAGACCACGCAAAAGATTGTCCATCATCCGCTCGAATGTTGCGGGCATGTTGCAAAGACCGAAAGGCATGACGCGGAATTTGTTAAGGCCATCAGGTGTGACAAAAGCCGTTTTAGGCTGATATTCAGGCGCCATAGGGACTTGCCAGCAGTCGCTCCGTAAGTCAATAGAAGAGAAGAGCTCCGCACCTTGGAGGCTGTCAAGGGCATTGTCGATTCACGGTAAGGGGTAAACGTCCTTTCGAGTTATTTTGTTAAGACGACGGTAGTCAACACAGAAGCAAATTGACCTGTCTTTCTTTTTAACGAGAACGACTGGAGATGCCCAGGGGCTATTCGAAGGCTGGATGACGCCACGCTTAAGCATGTCAGCTACTTGGTCACCAATAACCTGGCGCTCTGTCGCGGACACGCGATAGGGTCTTTGACGCAGTGGTGTATTGGTGCCCATGTCGATGCAGTGACACACAGCTGACGTGCGGCCGAGGGGACTATGCTGGCAGTCAAAGGAAGAACGGAACTTGTTTAGGAGTCGTAGAAGCTGAGCACGTTGCGAAACGGTTAACGTGTCGGCGATGGAGCTGCTCAGTATGTCAGGTCTAGTAGTCTGCGGCGAAGAGGTCCAGGTCAATCCAGAGACTTCGTGTTCGACGAAAAAAACCAGTTGGCATGTCAATATTTGCAGAAGGGTCGAGACTGTAAACACACTCGACGCACTCGCCCCGAAGTAGTGTTACTGGACATGACAGCAGATTTGAGATGAGCAGTCTGCTGACACAGTCATGAAGTTCCAAAAGGGCATGAAGTAGCGGCAAACACTTGCGACGAACGAAAACGGCAGATGGCATGAAAAGGGCACTTGACTCGGCGAGCGCGTTGCAGGACACCATGGCAAGGGCAAAAGAGTGCGGCGGTACGGTAACGTTTTCAGCAAGAAATAGTTTGTCCCCGGTTTCAACAGCGTCATGTAAAGTAGCATCACTAAACACTTCAAATGCCACCTCAGCGCGCGAGCAGTCGATGACGGCCTTGTTAGCGGAGAGAAAGTCCCAGCCCAAAATGAGGTCATGGGAGCAGGAATCCAACACTAGTCATTCGACGACATAGATGAGGCCGTCAATCGCAATGCGAGCTGTACAGGCAGCGGCCGGCGTGACGTGCTTTGCACTTGCTCTTTGAAGCGATATACTTGCTTGTAGCGTCGTAACCTTTTTGAGCAAGCGGCAGAGTCTGGCACTGATCACCGAAACTGTGGCACCAGTGTCGACAAGAGAGGTGCAGCAACGCCGTCCACATATACGTCCAGTACATTCGTCGGTGAAGAGAGAGGCCTTGGTCTTTCCGCGGGTGTCGCAGTTCCTGCCGCTGGAACTGCGGCAATTAGTTTTCAACGCTCCGGCGATGAAGGGCGACGACGCATCGGCGATGGCGAGCGGCGTCGAGGTGATGGCGAGCAACGGTTAACAGGAGGGTGGTGGTCGGAGTACGATGACATCTGGTCGGGATGCTGAGAGCCTGCGAACGAAGGGCCCGGTGGCATATAAGGGACAGGTTCGAAGTTCTGGTGGCAGTTCTGGTGGTAGGCAGGGACACGCCCATGGCAGTATCGCGCTATGTGGCCAGGCAACCCACAGGCATAGCATATCGGCCGATTGTCGGGTGTACGCCCTTGTCCACTACTCTGGAGGGACCTCGGCTGAGCAAACCGAAGAGTGGGCACGGCTGATGGTAGTGACCTAAAAGTCTGAAGAGGTGGCCTTGCAGCAACCTCAGCATAGCTTAGAGGTGCGTTCACCTCGGCACAGGCCACAGGGGTCGACATTGGCGACAGTTTCAGTTTCAGTTTATTATTCATTTCAAAAAAGTAGTACAGTAATATTAATATACAGACGAGGGTCCCAAAGTTAAAAACTGTAACGGTACCCTCGACGACGGTCCCAAAGTTAAAAACTGTAACGGGACCCTCGATGCATTATAACAATCAATAAATCAGATCAAGTTAACAACCAGGTGGCAGGTGGCAGAGCCGTGCAAACTTGCTCCTGGATTACCTCACGAATGTTTGCTGGCAGATGTGATGATGGTTAGCCGGCTGTTGATAGCAGCGACAGCTGACGAGCGACCTCAGCACAAACAAACTCTTTGATATGCGATAGCAGCGAGTGATGGTCAGAGGTGGTTGTCAAGCTCGAGAGGGTGTCATCCGGGTCGTTAGGGTGTCGCGTGAGAAGACGCTGTCATCGGAGCTCGTCAAAACTCTGACGCAGCTCGATGAGCTAAGAGACAGTGGCAGGGTTTTCCGAGAGGAGCATTAAAAGGAGTCATCGGAAATGCCTTTCATAATGTGTCGTACCTTGTCAGTTTCCAGCATCGTCGAGTCAACGCGCCGGCAGAAGTCGAGGATGTCCTCGATGTAGCTGGTGAATGTCTCACCAGTTGGTTGGGACCGGCTTCGTAGTCGTTGTTCTGCATGAAGTTTGAGCACCCCAGGGCGTCCAAAAACTGTTATGCAGGTCTTGAAGGTCGTCCAAGTAGGAATGTCCGTCTCGTGGTTTTGTACCACAGCTTGGCGACATCCGTTAAATAAAACATCACGGTACCCAGTTCCATGGCGTCATCCCATTTGTTGGCAGCGCTGGCTCGTTCGTATGATTCCAGCCAATTCTCAGCGTCATTTTCGTCTGTGCCGCTGAAGATGTCGGGTTCACGCAGGAGCTGGGCACAGGGACAGCCCCTGGGTGGCGAAGCCCAGGGGGTGTGAAGACAGCGTCGTCAGGCAGGACGGACGGCAGCTTTCGGCTACGCAATTCCAGGGTCGGGCAAAACCACAGCAGACTCCATCAAAATATAATGTAAATGCAAGGCGATAAGCGGTAGCAGCGTCAGGACAGAAGCAGCAAGAGCTGGCCGGATATACGGGCGTCGTCGCAGCGGCAACCAGGCAGTCTCAGCTCGGGCCTCGCGGCAATGTGTCGATGTCGCTGCGGTAGTGGGCATTCCTCTTCACTACAGGTGATTTTTTGCGGCATAGCGATGGTTTTTCGTTTTTTGTGTGTGTGTTTGTGTTTTTAAGGCGAAAGAACTTGTATCATGACAATTATTGTAAGCTATATATGTGTGCACCTTCAATAAACTTTCAGTTGCGAGTGTGCGCTTACGTTGTTCTTTCCTCAAGTCCGTGTTACGTACCGCGCCCTACTTCTTCCATAATGAGAGGTACCAACCTTGTCAAAACAGGTGAAAAACAACAATCGGTGATTTTCGAGTGTTTTTTTACTTGCATCTTCCCTTCAAAAGGCCTTGGAGCCCTTTTCCAAGTAGTCATCAAATGGTTCCATGATCAGAGCCCATTATCTCCCGAACTGACTATCGCAAAACATTTTTTTAGGATCCGTCAAGCACGAGCGGAGCTACAGTGACTTGCCACACGCTTCAAGCGCTTCCTTTCTCCTTTCATACCAGCAAAGGTGCTGAAAGCTGCACAGTAGGGGGGATGACAAGGAGGCAAAAATAGGCAACCTTTCGTCAGTGCGCGTCATGTCCTTGAGCACTTTCTTTCCCTTTTTTTTTTTCTGAAAGCACGAGGCTTACTTTCGATGAAATTGCAAGCGCACGGATGGGCACTTGGCTGTATTCTCTGGCATCCGCAGTAATTAGGTGCCTCACAGTGCTCAAATCAGCCAAGGGCCGTGTGGTACATGGCGCGGTCAATTAGTTATACAGCACCATTTGTCGAGAGAAAAAGGAACGACTCAAACCTGACTGAAAATAACTGCAAATTGCGGGCCGCGTGCTGCACTGTAATGTTTGGTTTGTATGTTCTCAGAAACCTCGACTACCACTCGGCAGCGTTTTCTGACGATGCTGAAATAGTGTTGCGGGCCCCTTCAAGTGTCGGCAAGTTTGAAACATGCACATATTCATGGGGTTCTAATGTACTCACCTTGTGCCAGAATATGCAGCTCCTCCTTGAGCGAAGCCTCCTTTTCACGGCTCCGCTGCTCCAGGGTCTTGCGGGCGGCTTCGTTGTTGTGCACTTGGCATTCCATTTGCTGTGTAATTTGGCGGGCACGCTGCTCAAGCTCTTGCACCTTAGAGGGAGAACAAAGTAGAGAAATAGATAACAATAAAGGCTCGAGCTTCTCTTTATTTTCTGCACGTGTTGCACTCTCTTTTTAGCCAGTGACAGGTTATCGCCACGATAAATTTGTTTCTACTGAATACCCACCTACTGTGCCTGTAATTACATTCAAGCCTCAATATGACAAACACATATATAACGAAGTATCGGTTGTAATGAAGTAAATGAAAAAAAGTCTTGCAATAAATTTAGTGCTAGGAATAACCTTTATAATGAATTTTCAGATATAACAAACTTATTTTCTGTAAGATGGAACTTTGTTGCAATGAGGTTGGAGTGCATTACTACATTTTGTTAATTTATTTATTTTGAATTACTGCAACCCTACGCAGGGCTATCACAAGAATGGAATACTGCATAATAGGCGCACTTTTTTTTTTTCAGAAAGTCCGGCTAAAAGTGTGGGGTGCGCCTATTACGCAGGGTAAAATTTCCAAAGACTTCATTTCTAACTACGGCATATACCATTGATACCGTCTACGTCCCCAAAGTCCCGAACATCTGCACTACAGCCGAAACAACCTACTTCATAGGCTACACAAGCGCACAACGTCTCAAGAGTGCTATAATCGAGGCATGCGATGCGGTGCACCTTCAAATTTCCGAAAGTCAACATATCAAAATACCCGTGTTGCCAACGAAATGGAGAAAAAAAATTATGAAAAAGATGTCCTTGCTAAAATTCGCCTATAAGGCTTCAAGCCACGACCGAAATTTTATGCGCTGAACGACTACAATCGTTCAATTTTACGGGCTCGCACTCCATATTGAAGGCATTGCAATCGAATCGCAAGCCACCATACAAATGTTACGAGTGCCGCCCAAGCCCCCTTTTCTTCAAATAGAGCCACCGAAAAGAGTTATATTGATTCTGCGCAAAAAACGCAAATTTGATCGCCCCCCACTGCCACTGATAAGAACCAAAAGTGATTAAGCCTAGCCTACGGTTCAGCATGTTATCGTGCGCGATACGATGTTTACGTTCTCGGCCAGGAAATCAACAGCGACAAAAGTCCACCAAGCTTAGGCAAGTCCGCGTAGTGGCAGCAAAGACTGAAGCTCACGTTGAAAAGCTGAAAAGCTTTTAAATTTGCAGACAAGGTAGCAAATGCGATAACGGCGACGCTTTTTTCAACAGGCAGCTCAATGGGCACTTGATGAGGATGAGATTGCACGTTCCATGAGGAGCGCGGCTCCGGCCACGCCGGTGCAAGGTCACTCCGACACTTAGGCAACAGCCCTACTTCCACACTTGGCGAAACCGCGGAGCTGGCGGGTCTTTTCTCTTCTATTTTTCCTCGCTTCAGTTAGCGTAAGAGGGCATTCAATTGCTAGCATGCAAACACAGTACAGAGCTAAGTTCAGGATGGAAATAAAAAAATCTGATTTCTCGGGACCAATCTGACGGTGCGCCTACTATGCGAATGTGTCTATTATGCGAGTAAACAGGGTACAGTTTCATAAAGAACAAGCTAACAGGCAGTTCACAAGGCTGACATGAAAGTAAAAAAAGGTATTTTTAGCAAGAGCACTTTAGTGAAATCAGATTGCACGCACAATGTGAATCATGTCTTCAGTTATTATACATAATTACGGCACCAGCAATAACGCACTATGTTGGGCGAGTTGGTTTTTAGCTTTCGTAATTACAGCGCGAGAAGACGCCACAGAAAAGAAGGCACACAAGACACACGGAGCATTCTGACAACTGATATCTTATCGTAACCAGCAATGGCAATTATAACGGCAAAATATCAGTTCTCAGTCAGCGCTCCACGTCTCGTGTGTGCCTTCTTTGCTCTGGTGCCGTCTCATGCTGTAATTATGGAAGCTCAATCCAAGCCCACAGTCCCCCTCTTCCACTGCAGGTGTTCAATATTTTGTAGTTTTTCACGCCCTTGACCACTCTTTGCCTATCGCCTATATTATTTTTCCAGGGTAGAATAAATTACACTCAAAGCTCATTATAACAAAGTTGCACCTTACACGAAAATAAGTTGGCTATATCCTAAAATTTGTTATATAAAGGTTTATTCTTAACACCATATCTATTGCAAGACTATCTTTCATTCACTTAGTTGTAAGCGCTATTTCATTATATCTGGGTTCGTTATATCAAAGTTTGAGTGTACTTCAATACCTTGAATCGGGTTACATTCATCTACACTATAACCTCGTTACATTAAATATGCTTACAATGAATATGCTTACAACAGAAATTCAGACACTACCTACTAATTGGCGGCATTATGCCCACCTTTGTTCCATTGGTTGAGCTTCATTTACTACAGATTCTGGTACAATGGGCATTCGGATAAAATTGACTAAAATGCGAGGCCAGCAAGCTGGTTAGGACTTGCAGACTTTTCTACCCCAGAAAACTTGACTTCACTAACTTCTGACTTCGAACATCGCTTGGCATACTTTCGAGGCAACAATGGCGCTGCTGATATCAACGTACAAACTTAAGAACGAAGGCCACCCATCTCCGATTGGTTAATGATTAGTTATGCCTGTTTATGAAGCACCATAGTGCTTCATAAAGAAAGTAACAGAATACCAATCAAGAAGGGTGTAAGGCAGGGGGACACAATCTCCCCAATGCTATTACCGCGTCTTTACAGGAGGTTTTCAGAAGCCTAGAATGAGAACAGTTAGGGATAAGAGTGAATGGCGAGTACTTTAGTAACCTGCGCTTTGCCGATGACATTGCATTGCTGAGTAACTCAGGGGACGAATTGCAACTTATGATTACGGAGTTAGACAAGGAGAGCAGAAAGACGGGTCTTAACATTAGTCTGCAGAAACGAAAGTAATGTACAACAACCTCGGAAAGGAGCAGCGCTTCGAGATAGGCAATAGTGCACTTCAAGTTGTAAAAGACCATGTCTACTTAGGGCAGGTAACCGCGGAGCCGAACCGCGAGATTGAAGTAACTAGAAGAATGAGAATGGCATGGAGCACATTTGGCAAGCACTCTCAAATTATGACAGGTAGATTGCCACTACCCCTCAAGAGAAAGGCATATAACAGCTGTATCTCGCCGGTACTTACTAGCTACGGAGGAGAAACCTGGAGACTTACAAAGAGGGTTCAGCTTAAACTGAGGACGATGCAGCGAGCAATGGAAAGAAAAATGGTAGGTGTAACCTTAAGAGACAAGCAGAGAGCAGAGTGGATTAGGGAACAAATGGGGGTTAACGATATCATAGTTGGAATCAAGAAGAGGAAATGAACATGGGCCGGGCATGTAGCGTGTAGACAGGATAACCGCTGGTCATTAAGGGTAACTAACTGGATTCCCAAAGAGGCAAGCGGGTTCGGGGGAGACAGAAGGTTCGCTGGGCAGATGTAAGAAGTTAGCGGGTATAAATTGGCAGCAGCAAGCACAGGACCGGGTTAACTGGTGGAACATAGGAGAGGCCTTTGTCCTGCAGTGGCCATAGCCAGGCTGATGATAACGATGATGATGATGTGTTGTGCCTAGCTACGGCGACGAAAAATCAGCACGCAGCGTGCTTACTTTTGTGTGTTGGGGCGCTGACATGCGAAATTGCTGGTCTCTGCCACGGCTGTTCCGAGCGGTAGGTGCGTGACGAGCTTGGCCGGGGTTTGCTCCCGACGGGCAACATGTCTATTTGTGGTTCTAAGGAGCCAGCAGCCGACTATTTGTTACCTGTGGCGAAGCACATTGCGGCTTCTTTGCTTTCACGTATCTGCTAGCGCGACGGTCTTGCCCGCCAAGTTTAGGTAGGAATTAGCCCTAGCCAGGACTTTGACAAAGAAGGTGGTGGCGCGACTGCGATGTGCATATTCGTGGTGCCCGATGCTTCAAAGTACGATGTGCTCAATCGCGAGTACAAAGATCTGTCCCGCGGTAGTTTTCGTGAAGGTGCATTTACACTAGAGAGACACGACACTGATTTTGGTCTGCCAACTGTAATTTAGAGTCTTTTGTCTTGTCGTTGTCCTATGTACACTGCAAAGACACAAACAGTCCGCCGATCGTCTTTCAAGGACTCCACCTGCGCCTTGTCGTGCTCACAGCCTTTCGTTTGCCAATTCTGCAGTCACAATGGAGGTGCACATAGCGACGCCGACTAAACTTGCACACCTGCCCCTCATTTCAGCCATGCTCCCTGCTCTGCCATTGTCCCTCTTTGACTGCTACGTAGCGCAGCCCCCGCCATAATACATGGTGACGAGGAACGGGGGGTCATTAGACACAAAAGGAAAGCAAAGAAAAGACTTCTTTTGGATGCTCAAGCTGGCCAATTCAGACGCCTCAGACAAGGCATTGTTAACTCCCCTAAAACTCCTTTAAGATTGCCCACTTTGTGGTCGTTTGAAGCAAAGACATAGGGCAAATTTTCGCTCAGCCGCGAGTCTCCCGAAGACACGCCAACGACAGGTGTGTGGATGCGTTTTGCTGGTGTTTTCGGTCTGTCATCATGTTACACTAAGATGACACGCCGTCTTTTGAGGCATCAGCGGCGGCCTAGTGTTACGATAGGGTCTGGAGACTTCGTTGGCGGGCGACTGGTTAACCGATGGTCTGCATCTGCCTCGTGTCTTCGTCGGGGTCATGTCAGTGTCGTGTCACTCTAGTGTAAACGTGCCTTGACAAGGTGTGAGACGCTGTTAAGCAGAACCTTTTTGCCAAAGAGTCAACGCTATGACAGTCAGTTCAAGACACGCGTGTGCAATGTTCGTGACGAGTGCGGGGCACGATCGTGATATGAGGACTTAACTTCTGCTTGCGGCTGCCTTAACAAAGGTGTAAATTGTAACTTGAATTATCGTCGACCCGTGAACACAAAACGAGTGCGAAATCGTCACTCAAGTTGCACAATTTTAGACAGCCGCGACCTCGTGATGCACAAGAAGCAGAAAACGCTATCCCAAAGGCTTAAACCGGAACGTGCATCAGACCAGCAAGGCGTACTGGAGCGACACGGTAGAAGCAGCCAATCAGACCTCAAAATGAATATCAAACATCTGCCTTTTGAACATAAAATGTCCTTTTGAACAAGGAGCCCAAAATGATCGTAGGCATTTGTTCTGTTGCGAACCTATAAATTTTTTAACAATGCTGTTTTTCTTTCTTTTTCTTCTTTTTTTTTGCGTTTTTCGCAATGATTTTCACCACCTTGGCAGGCGCGAACAGCTTTTCACAGCACTTCACGTAATTTTCAGTGAAGATATTTTGGCATCAGATATAAGAAAGAACTACCGTGTAATTGAAGATCTGATTTTAAGAAAATGAAATTTTTTATGTCCCCTTGAGAATAAATTCGTATATGACTCGGTAGTTCTCTCCGGTTATAAGAGACCCATGCAGCGTTTCCGTAAAAGTCTGTAATAACAATACTTTGATTTTACATATTCCTTTTACAACAGACTGAAATCTTCATTATAGAGGTCTGTAGTATTCTGGTTATACTTTATCTTGTCCTGACTTTTGTGCAATTTTTTTTTCTTAACACCACATAGCAACTAACTTCTGCAATGTTGCACACATACATGCATACGGAATAAAGCAGCTCTATAAAGTGCAGAAAAGCGGCAACACACCTTGCCACGAAGCTGCACGTTCTCGTTTCTCAGCCTGTCCGCCTCGTGGTTGGTACGATCCAACGAGTGCGCCCTCAACGGTGTACTCGGCATGGGACCAGGTTGGCCGACCTCTTGCTTCTCAGCGGCTGCGGAACACACATTTCTCATGGAATTCTTCTTAGCCCAAACACCAGAGAAGAAGAAAAGCGGCCAGCAGAAAACGTAACACCGTAACAATAGACAGGCCTTGTGTAGTAATTCTACACGAATTCTTCCAGCCTTAGCTCTTTCAAGTTCAAGAGGTCAGCCCAACACGCACACACGTGTGCCCTGCAAACATAGCCCAACACGCTCGATTCTTGGTAGATTTCATGGTGGGAATTCATAATGCTCATGTCACCAATACAGTGCACTCGAAATGGGCATACGTGATGGGCATCAATAATACCTGAAAAGGGGGTACAAGGGTTATAGCACAGCGTTTGCATTTCGATGGAGGCGAAACGCTGGAGACCCATGTGCTAAGATTTAAGTGCACATTGAAGAACCCCTGGCAGCCAAAATTTTCCGAGCCACCCCCCCCCCCCCCCCCCCATTGCGGTATGTCTCATAATCATCTTATGGTCTTAGCACATTAAACCCTAGAATTTATTATTACCATATTATTGTTATCATCGTCGGCATTATTATTATTATTATTGTTATTATTATTATTATTATTATAGGCATGAACATGAAGGAAATTTAACTCTTAGGTTTATCCATGCCAAAACCAAGACACAATTATGAGGCGTACCAAGCGGACCACAACAAGGTCTGCAAATCAATTGCGACATTCTAGGGTTCTATAGCATGCACCTAAGCCTGAGTACACAGGTGTTCTTGCACTTTTCCCATATCGAAGCGAAGCCTCTGTGGCCAGAGATTGAACCAGCATTCTGGTACTTAGCAATGAGACAGCTCACCTGCTAACGATGACGATAGTTATAGCACGAGAACAATACGACGACACAGAGACAAGAAGGACACGAAAGACACGAGCGCTATAAAGTTCTTGTCTCTGTGTCGCCGTATTGTTCTCGCGCTATAACTATCGTCATGCCATACCAACTAGCCCAAGCTGCCACACTTTTAAGTCACCTGCTAAGCTACAACGTCGAGTATTAAAATGAGCACATGTCTGTCACGTTTTAAAGGGACACTAAAGGCCGATAGCAATTTATGTCGGAGAGAAAGCTCAATGTATGACGTCTAAAACGGCAATATCACCAACAGCAGTGCCCTACTTGTTGAGATATGAAGCTAAATTACTGCACGACCAGCCCCATGAGTAGGATTGTTTGGAAATGACGTCAGAGTGTCCAACATCACTAGTAATTAATCACTAGTAATCAAACCAGCCGCAAAAAAAAAAAAAAAATAACCGTCCGTGCATCAAGAGACGTAACAAAATGCTACTTGTCCGTTTCTGTCACACGGCCCCTGTAATGTCATCGCTGTGAATGACATTAAATGCTAATGTCATTTCTGTGGCTGAAACACGGGCATACTGAATTACATTCCCACCTAATGACATTCGCCTGTTGAATGTCATGTCACCAAACTCACAAAAGTGCGAAATGTGTAATCTCGTCAACAGGCACTTGACAAGAGATTACGAAATAAACACCTCAGAGCAAGTGTAAGCAATGTTCAGATGTTTATTAAAGGCTCTTATAAACTTTGCGGTAGTTTTTTAATGTACAATTTGATAGTGGAAGCAATTTGTGCAGCTATATTCTCTTTCCCAGATTCCACATTGATGTTATGGTGCCTCCTGTCAGCCGTAAACACTCGTTGTTGCTTTGATGCAGCGATACCCCGTTAGACTCGCTAGTAGCAGAATACACAAGAAAGTGTGGGGCACCAGTTTGGTAACAGTGTTTTCAAACCAATGATCCTTTTCTTGGGAAGCACCACAGTTGTCTTAATTGCCGACAAGTCGAGGCTTAACGTAAACGAATCGGCGGGTAGGCGCAGCTCTGAATCTCTCGTCGTTAGTGACATTTTTCCAAAGCAACCTTGAGGCCCTTCAGTCGGTTCTGTTGCTTCACTCTCAATAGCTAGAGAGCAATTAACATTCATTTGCCCTGAATGAAGCCAAGACTGGGCATCCACACAAGGTTAACCCTTGCCGCCAGAAAATTTGGAAGTAAACGAAAAAGAGAAGGTGACAAGACAGATAAAAAGTGGGAGAGAAAAACGGAGATGTAAGGAGTGAGAGACAGGAAAAGGCGACTGCCAATTTCCTCTGGGGTGGGTCAGGCCAGGGGTGCCGTCTATGTGAAGCCGGGGCTAAAAGGGTGTGTCTCCTCTGTTGGGGGGCCTTAAAGGTCCAATCAAACGCGTCCGCTCAACCCCCCCGGATCCCCTTTTCCCCGGACACGACACAGCCACGCTCGGCTAGGCGTGGGAGAGAGTCGAACCCCCCCCCTTAGCTTGGGTTTGTGGTGTCGCTACACACCAAACGCCTGCGTCAGCAGACTCCCCTGCGGGGGCACAGCCACTGTGGCCCGTTAAAACTAGAGATGTGCCAATTTTGACCCCTACAACAAGTTTACATAATGCATGGGTACAAATCAATGAGGATGCTCTAGCCGAGTAACTGGAGCTTGCAGACTCGTCAGATTTGGTTTCGTATCGTACTGGATGAAACTGTCAACCCAGAAGTAACTACGGACTTGCAGATGTCGCACAGCGTATGTCAAAAATGGCAGTCTCCATTGGCAAATGAGGTTTAGGGGCAGCGAAGTAAATTTAAAATTTTTAGTTCAAACACAGATGGAAGGAAATAACTTTTAATAAAGTTCCGCAATGTTTAACAGCCCAGGCTCAGTTCTCCCACGAGGGGACCTCGAGGCCTTGCCTCATCGCCGCCTCTCGGACCCACTGGACTCTTTTGAACCCACTGGACCCACTGGACTGCCCACTCTTTTGAAGGTGGAGCTCCGCAGAGCGGCAGCCCACTTCAACGCAGAAACGCCCAGAGCTACTGCCATTTTAGCAGCTGTTACAGGGCACTCCCACAACATGTGCAAGTGCGTCGCTTGAGTTGCCCGACACAATTTGCAGATAGTATTCAGGTATTGCGCGGGGAAAATGTTCCGCAGTTCACAGAGACAACTACGTATGCTGCAGCTGTAAAGAAGCACCCCTACGCACTGAACCCTGTCATTAAAGTATCTACATGATCTCTTCAAGCCAATGGCTGCATTTGTAACGTTACACATCACTAGCTTTTGTTTTAATTATACAGTCCTCTTACATTTCGAGTTGCAAAAACTTTACTGTTAAGACACCCACCTTTGAGCTTGGCTTCAAGTTCAGCGATCCTGCTTCGAAGCTCCCTGTTGTCAGGAGTGGTTGGCACGTCACCGTACCCAAACCTCTGTTTAATATTAAAAAAAAAAAAACAAGCAAGGAACATACATGAGTGAACAAGACTGCATCTACAGAGCATAAAGTATTCATTTTATCAAACACATACTGAAACAAAAAAAAAGGCCCGGGTCTAGAGTACAGAAGCTTGTGATGAAAATTCGTCAACAGGGGTTGCGTTGGAGGCAACATTTTGACAGGTAGACTTGTTTTCTTGAAGGCTGCGAGATAGAATCTAAAAGAAAATTCCATTGCAGCTTTTAAAAAGACAAGTCCGCTTGTTCAAACAGTGACTGCAGAACAGTCCCTATTTACAAATTCTCATATAAGGAAACAAGGAGAGTGTGTAAATTTAAAGGCGCCCTGAAACACTTCTTCAAGTAACTATGAAATGTATTCACTGAAAGATCTTATTGCCTCACGAATCCGACAGGGCAAAAACTAAGATTCTGTTCAGTACGAGCAGAGTTGCAAAGATTTATCGCACGCTGCAATCGCATTCTCTCGTCCCGACAAAAGCAATGGAAGCTAAGCAGGGACCGATGGCAAGGGCAAAAAAAATATGTCACGTGCGCCTCTTGACCTTGAGCACTTTTTTCCCCCCCTTCAAATACATGACTTATTCAGTGTGATTGCGAGCACACGCGTGGTCAAGTCGCGGCAATTTCTGTAAGGACCGAGCGCGCCATGTTCAAATGAGCCAATGGGTAATGTACAAGGCCTTCTACGAGTGATTTTTGAGCGTCTCCTGTCATTTGTCAAGAAAACAGGAAGCAATTTTTAATTGACTTTGATCACTTTTTGTGAATTCCAGGCCGCGTTCTGCGCTATAATATTTGGCTCGAGTGTTCTCGGGAGCCCCTACAACCAATCGGCAGTGTTTTCTGACCATGCTGAAAAAAAGCTGCAGGGCCGCTTTAAGGGCTTGTTTTCATTGCTAGACACAATGTTCATGAAAACTAACAGACATTGATGCCAAGAGAAGTATTGGAAATGTTACTAGATGTAATTTTAATGTAAATAACGGTGGTACGAGCGCATCATGCTGCCGCTCGCAAGTTTGCAACCGCCGTGTCGTACAAGGCCACTGGTGCATTGCTTGCAAAATGTATATCTATATCGTGTTGAATAGCTGCTCATTTCAGCCAGCTATGATTTCGAGTGAAGCATGGATGCAGAACACACAAATTCGTGCATACATTAGACTGCAAATGGGCGGGAATGCGGCAGTGAGAGCCAAGTAAGCGAAGTGCTGCACGCAACTGGCCAGGGATGATTGGTTTCTTGCTGCAGTACTGCACCTCAGTGGAGCAGCGCGAGTTAATCGCAAACATGAGCAAGCGGGCATTGCATCACACATAAAAAGGCCTAACAGCACAGTAGGTTTTGATATCACTTTTTTTTTTATGCACAAGAAAAAAAAAGACGGTTTGGTCACTAATAGCACATTTTTAAGGGCGAGTGCATATACAGCGAACTACTGATATATGAAGCCGAAGCAACGCATGGTGGCGCTGTGACTCTGGACAGACAGCGCCATCTTTGGCAGAAGCGAACTACTGATATAGGAAGCCAAAGCAACACATGGTGGCGCTGCGAACAGGCAGCGCCAATTTTGGCAGAAAAGTAGAAATCGGGGGTGTAGATGACACATTTTTCCTTCGCTCCAATGCGCTGCCGCTCGCTAACGTGCTCGTGCAGAGAGCGCGCGCTGCGTTTGAGTCACCCCACAATGTACCGCCTGCAGTGTGGCTTCACAAAGATTTCTGAGCTGAACAAGCACTTCCGAAAAGCGAATCGAACCAAAGGAGTAAAGCTCGTTAGTCAAGTTTATGATGTGGAGCAGATGACAGAAAACGAGGACGCCCGAGTCACTGCGAAATGCATTTTTCGGGTCCTCTGTGATAATACCGTGTACGACGTAGGCCTCGAGGTAAGTCTCATTCCGCCGACATGAAGCCGTGTACTCTATCGACGTGCTGTGTTGACGTTTATGGAAACCATATAATTTTTGTTTTGATACAGTATCTAGCAGATGCAGCCGTGTACCGTCATGTGCAAACGTTTGCGACGTGCTGAAAAAATAAATAAAAACTAAAGTTATATGGTCATGGCATTAAAATGTCCGAGAAGATTTAGAGTCATGTCCTCCGTGCCACGCATGACCCGCAGAGGTCGCCGCGAAGCAACAAGCTGAGCTTAACCACAACAGGTCAAACTAAGTTCTCGCCTTTTTTTTTTTTTTTTCCGGCTCTCGTGTCATGCTTGCTCCATCTTTCGCGAACGCAGCTGTGTTCGCCGGCTGCGACTAGATGGGAAACTGATACAGCTTTATACGTCGAAAGTGTTCCTTGGTGTTTTCTGCATTGTTGTGGCAGCCCACAACACAGTATTTTGGACCTCGCCGACGCTTTTGTGGGCCGCTTCTTCCTTCATGGAAAGGCAACTTCGCACAGCGAGCGTCTCGTTTTAGCGCGCCAAGCTGAAAGCACGGCGCCCAAGATACCCGCACCGACTGCATAATGCGTTGCGCGCCTGTTGCACGCGCTCCCGTTTTGGCTAAACACATTAACTCGCCTGCGACTTCTCCCGCGTCTCTCCTCAAGTGTTCCGGAGCTTGCCGCCAGGGCCAGGCGCGGCCTTGTCATTGCTCCGCAAACTTGACCTTCGGTGCTCTATAACGACCACTTATTGCGGTGCTTTTGAGTTCGATATAAATAGGTTTGACTGTACTGTGTCTAACAAAGAAAGCAAGCCCATAAATTCTGACTTATTTCCTTCACCCGTAGTGAAGATCTTGTTCTGGCAGACTTGATGCAGTGGTGGAAGTGGCTTTTGGCATTTCGGAGCAGCTTTCGGAGCAGGAAAAATGGAAGTTTGGAGCAAGAATTAGTGTGCTTGGAGCACAAAAATGTCCTGTTTGTAGCAAGCTAACTACTGTTTGGAGCAGTCTCACAGCAGCAGGTAGGTAACGATATGTGCATGGAACACGACAAATAAATTTTATTTTAAAAATAATTGCATTTATTATTGATCATATATTGCACTTAACAAATTTATCAACATTTACTGAACACACATCTACTGAACACACAAATTTGCAGAATGCCTGCCATTTTTGCACTATCAGGTATCATTTTACAATTATTACAATGCAATACTATCACAGAAAAGCTCTCACATGAGTATTTAAACAGAGTACTTCAGCTCTAAAAAAGAAGTAAACATCACAGTGAAATTCACATGCAAACCTCATAACTGAGACTAGTCCTATAGGCGCGCACAGCTTTTCTTTTTCTTGAATCTTCAAGCTTGCTAAGATTGCTAGCAAGTTTTGCCTGACCCTCCTTGAGCAATGCTTCTCCACTTTCAATATCATCAAGCTTCTTAGCCTTCATCCCTTTTGCAATAAGAAGTTCTGCATTGGCTAGCATCTTCTTAGCAGAATCGATATCCATCTGTATACTTCGCTGCTCATCCACTTTGCTTCCTACGGAGATTTGGTGAAGCTTGGCTTTCTTGGCTGAGGGTTCACATTCTGCAGACAGACGTTCCTGGTACTTTTTAAATGAGCCCTTTACCGCTTTGATCATATCAGGCTTTAGAGGAATGGCTGAGGCATCTTGGCCATACCGGCTACAAAATGATTTATTAGCATGCAATCCATATACACTTGCAATTGAAAGGTTACTTCACTCATGGAGAAGACGGCTATTTTCACTAAATCCCCTTTCAACGTCAGCATTGCCATGCGCTAGCGACAGCATAGCTTTAACAAATTTCACTGTTCGGGGGTACTTGGGACCAGCGTCTTTTGACAAGAGGCTGAATATGTGTTGCCACGCATCGTCGAGACGCTTGTGTGGATTAGACAAAAACTCTTCTGTGGAGAGGAGCGTTAGTTTGTCCATCAGAGCAGACACTTGCGGTGGTACCACTTCTGGCACTTGTGCCAAATTCCCGAGTGCCACAATGGCGCTCTCCTCCTTGACAGCACTTGGATGAATGCTCTTGAGATCTTTAAGCACCTGATTGCCAAAGGGCAGCCTTGAAAGCAGATACTTCGCAACCTGAATGTAAAAGCTACGTGCACCTATTCTAAACATTATCTTCTCTTCGTGCGTGAAAGAATTGATGGAATTTTCAGTGTCTGCACCAATTTCAACTACCTGTTTCCAATTTGCAGAGCACTCTACATTAAGAGATTGAAGTTCCACTCCTGTGAAGTCGCTGTATGCACCAATCAGTAGGAAACGTCCCAGAATTCTTTTCACAAGCTTCACAATTTCTTCATACAATATATGGAGAAGTGGCTCCCATCGTTGAAATAACGTCAAGAACTCAACAAACACATCTGCGACATTTCGAAGAAAGATTGCCTTGGGAAGTGGATCCTTTTTCATTAGATTTACTTTCAGACGCCTAAAAATATTGCCACCCGCTCGACTTTTTTGTTGGGCACCCAGAACCGTTTCCTTGACAGCTTCATGTTGCTGGATAAATCGATCCAAAGCTGAACTCAGCGTCAGCCATCGCGAGCTCACATGCCGCAGAAGGACATTTCAATTTCAGGCAAGCCTAGAAATCTCTGTGTTTCCTTCAGCGTAGCCCTTTGTACGGCTGAATTTTTGAAAAAGTGATATTTGACAAGCAACGTTGTTTCTACAGTATCACCAAATGCTTCGAGACCTTTTGCAAATGCATTATGCATCTTGTGCAAACTACATTCACCAATGTCCAGCAAAGCTGGATTCACATCTTCTTTCAAACGTTTTTTCAAACTTCGCATGACGTTGGGCCCGTCACTGTAAAAGCAGACCATGTTCCTTGCAGGCAAATTTTGCAGGGCTTTTTTGACATGTGCCAGCAAGATTTCTGTTGTTGCTGAGCCCAAGTGATAAGAGCACAAATGCTCAACAACAACACGCTTCTGTGTATCAGAAAAATATCTGGCCATCACGTCCAGCTGTTGGCAGCGTTGCTCTGGGAGAGGTGTTTCGTCGATCTGAA